CCCCCCCCCCCCCCCAACCCTATCTGACCCATCCACTCACAACCTTCTCTCTCTCTCTCACCCCTCCCTGGCCCCGCATGCTTGCATTCGCTACTGCCCGGCGGCGAGGTGCGGCCGTTAACGATGGAGGTGCGGAGGAGGACGCTGGTGGGAAGGGCGACGCTGAGGCGGCGGGCGACAGGCGAGGCGGGCGACGATGGCAGTGGGGGTGGCACGGTCGGAGGCGAGGGCGACAGAGCTGGTGGAGGGAGCGGATGGTGATGTGGCTACTGGTGGTTGGCATCATGATCACCGGTGGCGTGATGATGGTGTGGGGTGGGCTGATCCACTCTCCGCTTGTCCGCCCAGCTGGCGATGCCGTCGACAGTGCTCCCGCCACATCATGCTTTGATCCCCGCCGCATTCGTAGCCTTGCAGGCGGCGAGACGCCTGGTCTTCTGGACGCGTTGAGCGCTGTGGGTTGTGTCGATAGGGGCTCGGCCACCTCTGGTGGGGAGACAGGCGCAGTGGTAATGGAAATGCACACGGGATCACAGGGCTTTGGTGTCCAGTTTGCGTCGTATGTGGCGGCGATGGCGGCGGCGATGGCCTGGCCGGGCGGCCCGGTCCCGCTGATATTTGCCGGTGAAGCGTGGAACTACGGCGGGGCAAACACCACGCTGGTCGACGTCCTGGCTCCCGGTGCAGCATGTCGCCCACCGGCGAGCGAAGCTTGGCTAAGTGCCGCGGATCACATCGCATACCACAAGGTCATGTTGGGGCGGACAAACATTTGCCAACCCGGGCCGGCGGCCGGCGATCCATTTTGCGAGCCTATGTCGCGCGAGAGCGACGGTAGCCGGCGGCGGCGAGGCGGTAGCCTCATCAAGTCTGGCGGCGGCGACCGAGTCCGCGGCGGTGCACAGTGGGGACTTGCCTTTCACAGCAAGATCCTCGCCGCCGGCGCAGCGCTCGAGTGGTTCCCCGGCGGTGCGCGTGAGTGGGAGGCGCTGCTCACGGCGGCGCTCTTCTGCCCGGGCCCGCGGATCCTGGCACGGGCGGCCGAGGCCAAGGCGGCGTCAGGCTTGCCCTGGGACGACAAGCCGGTCATCGGCCTGCACATCCGGCGCGGCGACCGGACCGATCTGCACAAACACCTTGTGGCCGACTACTTTGACGAGGTGGCGGCGCTGGCAGACGAGCTTGCGACAGACGCGGTGTGGGTGGCTGCAGACGCAGCTGAGACGCTTGAAGCGGTCGAGGCTGTGTTTGGTGAGCGATACTCGCTGTACTCGCTGTGGCACTGGGCGCGGGACGCGCCTGGGGCCGACGTGGCATGGGGCGGGGCGTACATGTTTACGGCGACGACTCCAGATGCGCTCATGGACAGCATGCTGGTTGACATTGAGCTGCTAGGCTCAACATCGGCGCTGGTCGGCGCGCAGCGGTCGCGGTTCGGGTGGCTGGCGTCACGGCTGATTGCCGGGCGCGGCAACGAGGCGGCGTGCCCACGGTGGGTGGCCGGCGACACGTCGAACGCGTACGGGTGGTGGAATGGCGATGACGTCGATCCGCGCAAAGTGTGTGTGTGAGACACCCTTACATGACTGAGCAGGCCTTGTTGTCGCTGTGTGCCACATGCTTCTGCGAATGCGAGTGATGGTGGCCCGGGAGGCCATCCTCGCCGTCTGAGGTGTACGAGAGGCCGAGCGAAGGGTCGGTGTCTGACGAGTCGGCGTCGTCGTCGGACGACGACATCCAGCGAAGGCGGTACGCGTGCGGAACCTTGGTCTCAGGCACAAATATGTCTGGCACAATGCCGTCCTCGTCCGAGTGGTCGGCCATAAGCGCGGCAACGGTCTGGACGCGGCGCTCGTCAGCGGCGGCACGGGCGCGGGCGGCGGCGAGCTGGGCCTGGGTCTCGCCGTTGAGCAACGAGTCGTCCGAGTCGTCCGAGTCACCATCCGAGTGCGAGGCGTGCTCGAGCTCGAGGTTACGGAGGAGGGCCTGGAGCGATGACGGGTAGTCGATGTGGGCGTCGCCGGACGGGTGCTCGACGATGACGATCTGCTCGTTCTCGTCGTAGTGGTGGCCGTGGAGCGGCTGGTTGGTGTCACGGCGACGGCGGACGCGCTGCACAATCTCCTCGTCATCAGATGCGTCTGATGACGAGGCTGCGGCCTTGTACAGCGTGTGGACCGAGCGCTCTCCAAACAGGTCGAGCATGTCCTCATCTCCTCCGTCACGTGGACCACGACTCGTTGCTTAGAGCGAACAATGGCGCCGAGCTGAGTCTTCGGCAGCGCCGACTCGAGGAGGAGCTCGACCATGTTGGCGCGTGCGGCGGCAGCCTCGGGATCGCTCTCGTCATCGGTTGCGCCGTCGACATCGAGTGTGAGCAGCTGCGCAAGACTTGACGGCTGCGCAGCGGCGGGCGAGTCGCCGGCTACAGTGCTGGCTGTGGCATCCGGCGCCAAAGACTCGGTGCGGTTGGCCATCGAGAGCTCGAGCGACATCAGTGAGGCGCTGAGGTTGAGCGGCGGCGGGGTGGAAGCTGTGCTGCCCACGTTTGCAGGCGTCACACTCGTCAGCAGCATGTCGAATGCCGCCAGCGGGTCAGCTCTGGCGGCCTCGGTGTCAAAGTCGAGATCAAACGAGAGTGTGGGGACAGGCAGAGCCGGTCGGCTAGACGAAGCCGATGCTGACCCGTCGTCCGCGTCTGAGGCCGAGGGCGAGAGTGATGATGAGGATGAAGAATAAGCCGAAGACGATGAGGCCGAAGTGGCGTCCGCCTCTGCCTCTGCCTTGTCCGCAGCCTCTGCCTCTGCCTTGGCCGCAGCCTCTGCCTCTGCCTTGGCCGCAGCCTCGGCCTTGGCCGCAGCCTCAGCCTCTGCCTTGGCCGCAGCCTCTGCCTCTGCCTCTGCCTTGGCCGCAGCCTCTGCCTCTGCCTTGGCCGCAGCCTCGGCCTCTGCCTCTGCCTTGGCCGCAGCCTCTGCCTTGGCCGCAGCCTCGGCCTCTGCCTTGGCCGCAGCCTCGGCCTCTGCCTTGGCCGCAGCCTCTGCCTCGGCCTCTGCCTTGGCCGCAGCCTCTGCCTTGGCCGCAGCCTCGGCCTCTGCCTTGGCCGCAGCCTCTGCCTCGGCCTCTGCCTTGGCCGCAGCCTCGGCCTCTGCCTTGGCCGCAGCCTCTGCCTCGGCCTCTGCCTTGGCCGCAGCCTCTGCCTCTGCCTTGGCCGCAGCCTCTGCCTCTGCCCTGGCCGCAGCCTCTGCCTCTGCCTCTGCCTTGACCGCAGCCTCGGCCTCTGCCTCCACCTCCGCCCCCACCTCCACCTCCACCTCCGCCCCACCTTCACCTCCCCGCTACTCGAGCTACTCTCCGAGCCATCACTCTCATCCGACGAAGAGTCCAACATCACCAGCTCATCCTTGGGCATGTTGCACCACCCACACGGGGAGAGCAGACTACCCACCCGCCCCCGCCCCACCCTGTCCCGGCACCAACCATCAATGCCATCAACAATCACTTTCATGCTGACCATTGGCTCGTACGGCTACTTTTGGCACAGGCCAGGCGGAGGGCAGGACAGGGGGGGGGAGGGGGGGGGGAGGGGGACCCGTTCGTTCACTCGTTCGTTGGTTTGGTGGGAAAAGGGGAAGTGGGGCGGCAAAAGTGTTGGGGATTTAAGCTCAACACATTTCTCCACATCACAGTACGTAGACACTTGCTCAAGGAGGGGTGCATAGCCGGCGATTACCAGAGCCATGGCCATAGCCAAGGCGTACACACACACCGCTACCCCATACTAGTACCTTTTGTGAAGAGGTTAGCCTCCGTCTTTTGTCTGGTGGTGGTCTAGTGGTCGCTGTAGCCTCTGCTTGGCCCTCCACAATGTGGCTCTAGCCGATGCCGACAAAATCATGGGTCCTCGCCAACTTGGCCCAGAAGGGGTGGACAGCACCGACTGTGTGGACGTCGAGACTAGTGGAAGGCAGTGCAGCAAAGAGAGAGAGTGTGTGTAGGGGGTGTTTGTGTTTGGTTGTATGGCAGGGTACTCACTCACTGGTTATGGTCGTGTTGTGCTTATGGAACACGGTACGCGGACGGTGGTGGTGAACGACAGACAATGTCGGCTGATCTTGTCTGGAAGCTCGTGAACCAGTCGCACTCGAAGCTCAAGAAGCAGAAGTCGATCGGTGTTACCTTCTCGGCTGAGAAGGGCAACGTCGCCAACATCAACACCCGCGCGTTCTCCGGATACTCGCCCGAGGCTGTTGACGTCACCGTGTTCCGCAACCGTGTTGTCGTCTCGGTCGCCGACAAGGACTCCATCAACAAGCCTGCCACCCGCTTCAACCGCACTTCGCTCAAGCCCGAAGCCCAGCTCTCCTCCAAGGCCGCTATCGCCGCCACCCTGGCCGCTGGCGTCAACCCGGTTGTTGCCCGCATGGCTGCTGCCCGTGCTGACCGCCTCTCCCGCCACGGCGTCCACAAGGTCAAGCGCTCGAAGAAGTAAACTGGCCTGACAATCCTCGATCCCTCCCACCCGCATGCATGTCATTCCTCTCCACCCCCCTCCCGCCGCCCCTTCCCTCCCCTCGCCGTCTTCTCCCTGATCTTGGCTAGGTCCCCCCCCCCCTCCTCCTCCTGTCCCGGTGGCAACTGCACACGTCCACGAGACACAATGTCCCACCTGCTCAATCACCTCACTCACCGCCTCCTGGCCCACCAGCCGGACATGAACTACTCGTTCCCCTTTGACGAGCCGTACTCGGTGCAGATCCAGCTGATGGACGCACTCTCGAAGGTCCTGGCCGTAACGCCGGCCACAGGACCTGCGAGCCTCGCCGTCCTCGAGTCGCCCACTGGGACGGGCAAGTCGCTCTCGCTCATCTGCGCCACTCTCACCTGGCTCACATCATGTGGCAGGGACATTGCCTCAAAGAGACTTGCCCTTGCTGCTGCTCGCGACATGGCTCGTACCCTTGCTTCGGCTGCCCGCGAGACAAAGGTCCCGCTGCCCAAGCCCGCTCCTCGCCTCCCGGCATGGGTCTCCCAGCACGCCGCCACCGCCGAGGCCGATGACGCCGCTACCACCCGCGCCGAGATGGACGCAGAAGACAAGGCCCTCCGCCGCATTCTCGCCTCGGCAACTTCTCGTCTCGCCACTGGATCCGCCGCCACTGACGCGCTCGACGGCATGGCCCGTGCCCGCGCCCGTGCACGGGCCCGACTCCTTAACCAGGCTGGGCCATCGGCAACGCCACTCGCAACCGATCCGAACCCACCGGCTATGTCTGCCTTTGAAGCCGAGATTGAGGCCAAGTTTGGCAGCTCAGCCCCTATGCCGCCGCCCGAACTCGACGATTCTGGTGCTGCTCCTGACGACGCCTTTATTGTCGATCTCGTCCCTGACGGGCTTCCTGCGCTGATGCTGGAGCTTGATGCACTTAATGACGATGAGAACCGCACTACCTCGCGCCGTGCCCGGCACGAGGCCTCCACCCTCGGCGGCGTGCCGTTGCCGAACCTGGCCCAGGCAACCAAGGTGTACTACTGCTCGCGGACCCACTCGCAGATCGCGCAGTTTGTCGATGAGATCCGCGGCACTGCCTTTGCCGATGCAGGCCTCCGCGTCATCACCCTTGGCTCACGGAAGCAACTCTGCATCAATCCCAAGATCAACAAGCCATCGTCGTCTGTCGCCTCCATCAACGATGCCTGTCGTGACGCTCGGTCCAAGACCAAGGCCCCGCGTCGGCCGCTAGCCTCTCGGCAGGATCCAAGCGCAAGCGCGAATCGTCTGCTTGCGGCTGCCCGTTCTACGAGCCGATGGCTACCGCCGCTGCGCCACAGCCGTCGTACCCGGTCTATGCCCTCACCGAGATCCGCACTCTCGACGAGCTCGCCCGCCTCGGCACCTCGCTCTCGTCGTGCCCGTACTTTGGCACCCGCCGCGCGGTCGCCGGTGCCGACCTTGTCGCCCTCCCCTACACCATGCTCGTCCACGAGGGCACTCGCGCAGCGCTGGGCATTGATCTCACGGGCGCGGTCATTGTCGTTGATGAGGCCCACAACCTCGTCGATGCCATCAACGCCGTCCATTCGGTCACCGTCACCGCCGCCGCCGTCTCCCGCGCCCGCGCGCAGCTCAACGCCTACTTTGAACGTTACCGATCTCGGCTCTCGGCCTACAACCGTGACTCGCTTCTCACCATCCTCAACGTCGTCTCGTCGTTCTCCGCCTACTTTGCATCGCTCCCGCCCTCGGCCTCCCAGCCGGGTACCAAGGCTGTGCTCCCCGTGAACGAGTTTCTCCATTCGGCCACTCTTGGCATTGACCACTTTAACCCGTTTGACATGCGCAAGTACCTCGACGCATCGCAGCTGCTCAACAAGCTGCTTGGCTTTGCTGCTGCCGCCGCTGCAGAGGCCCAGGCTCCCGGTGACGACGATGGCGGCGGTGAAGATGCACAAGCCCGACCACCGCCGCCGGCCGACTCTCCACTCCGCAACATCATTGCCTTCCTCGAGGCCGTCAACCACCCACTCGCCGCTGAGCACGGCCGTATCCTCCTCGCCGCACATCCCGAGACCGGTACGCTCTCGGTCAAGCATCTTGTCCTCAACCCATCCGTCTACTTTGCCCCGCTAGTGGCTGACGCACATGCCGTCGTCCTTGCCGGCGGCACGCTGCAGCCGGTCGACGAGCTCTTGATCCAGCTCCTGGGTCCGCAGCGTGCTAGCGAGGTGGCGGTGACGCAAGCGCCAGCATCGCCGGTGCCGGGCGGCGTCTCGCTCTTTTCATGCGATCATGTCGTCGATCCGTCGTCGCTTCTCACTCTTGTCGTCGGCGTCTCGCCGCTCGATCCAAGCACCCGCTTTCGGTTTACCTACTCGAGACGCGATGCACTCATCCCTCACGCTGTCCGCGCGCTCGCCAACTTTGCCAATGTCTCACCAGGTGGTATGGTTGTCTTTTCCCGTCGTACGCCTTTGAGACTGCTGTCATGTCCGCTGCAGAGCCGGTCCTCTCCCACCGCAAGCCCGTCTTCCGCGAGACCGCCCGCGGCTCGGGCGCCGAAGTCCTAGCCCGCTATGCACAGACAGTCGCAGCTAATCCACGTCGTGGTGCCCTGCTCTCTTGCGTCATCGGCGGCAAGATGTCCGAGGGCATCAACTTCTCCGACGACCTGGGTCGCCTCATCGTCGTCGTCGGCGTCCCCTATCCGCCGCCCAACGATCCCGAGCTCAACGCCCGCCTCGACTTTGTCGCGAGCGCCAAGGCGGCGGCGGGTAATGCTCCAGCCCCGGGCACCAATCGCGCCCGCATCTCGGGCATGGCAACCATGTGCATGAAGGGTGTGAACCAGAGCATCGGCCGCGCCATCCGCCACAAGAACGACTACGCCTCCATCGTCCTCCTCGACGAGCGCTACGCTCTCGACGCAACTCTCTTTTCACTCCTACCTGCCTGGATCATGCGCAACTCGGCCGCCGCCGTCGCCTCGCCGCCGTCGTCGTCCTCGCTCTCGCACGCTACCTCGTTTGGAGCATCCATCCGCTCGCTCGTTCTTTTCTGGAAAGCCATCCGGCAGCGCAATGAGATCAGCGCCGGCCCCAGCGTAAGTGGCGCCGCCAACCCGTAGTCCTTCTTTACTCGAGAGCAAAGCAACCTGACGAGCGTGCTGATCCCGAGCCATCTCAGTCGATCCAGGCGTCAGTCGGTTCGCGGCTGGCCGCTCGCGCCAACACCCACCGCCGACTGATCGAACTCGCCGACCCCTCTCTCCTGCCCCTCGCCTTCACATGGGCAAAGGCGTGCTCCACAACGTGGTCGTATGCTGCACAGGACTTGACCAAGTGGAAAAGGGATGCATCCACAAGGCCGTCAGCTGCCTCGGTGGCGTATTTACTCGCCAGCTGACTTGTACGCCCCCCCCCCCCCCCCCTCCCTCCTCGCTGTCTCCCTTCCCACCCATTTCGCTGCATTCTATCAACCATTGGCGGCCAAAAAGGGTCGCATTTTGCTGCCATGACTCACCCCCCTCCGCCCGCTTGCGCAGCTTCTGTCACGCACCTGGTAGCAGATAGAGTCGGATCGGACAAGTACCGGGCAGCGCTTTCGATCTCGGCTGCAGTGGTGACCAAGCAGTGGGTGCTCAAGTGCAAGGCCGATGGACGGAGAGTGCCCGAGGCTATGTACGCCCTCCCGCCTTTGGCCGGTCTGGTCATTTGCGTCACCCAGCTCGATGCTGATGATCGTGATCGCATCCGCTCCGTTGTCTCTGCAAACGGTGGAGACTACATGCGCAATCTCGTGCCAGAGGCCACTCATCTCCTCGCCCTTCAGCCCTCGGGCACAAAGTATGAAAAGGCCGGCGAGTGGAACGTTCGCGTCGTCTCGCCGGCCTGGCTTGACGCATGCATCAAAGCTCGCGCCGCAGTCGATGAGACTCCGTTTGCCATTGCGCCTCCACCTGGTGTCACCGCTGGCGTCTCTTTAGCAGCCGAACCCGTGGATGAGTTGGCTTCGGGCGCCTGGCTCGAGGGCGAGCCGCCGTTTCTGCTCAACTCGCGTGACTCGCCTGTCCTCGACAAGCTGGACGGACTTCTCGACGGCCGCAACGTATTCCTCCACAAGTTTGGCAGTCTGGAGCGCCGACGGATGACCCGCATTGTACTTGCGGCCGGTGGGCATGTGGTCGACGAGCCCGACTCGTCCGTCATCAACACCTGGGTCGTTCCCCGCCTCCCGTCGGCCGATGAGCTCGACGCCTTTGCCCGCTGGCGCCACCCGCCGCGCGCCTTTGTCTCGGGCAAGTGGCTCTGGGTACTCGCCCAATCAAGCGCTCTCCCAGACATTGGCGAGTTCACGCTGGCAACGATAGCGAGCGCGGCGCTGCCGCCACCAACGCCCACAGGACCCACAGCGTCCCCAAAGCCGTACGTCGAGCCGACTCCGACCCCGATGGTGCTCGAGCCGACGCCTCAGACGCTGCCAGAGTCGGGAGGCGTTGACTCGATGCTCGACCTTTACTCGGGCGGGAGCGGGCCGGGCGTCTCATCTCACCGCACGCTGCGGCGCACAATCTCACAGTCGCTGATGGCCGACGCCGCGTCCCCGGTCCTTTTTGGTCGATCGCAGTTTGTGGTCGACGACCGAGTCACCGGCGACGAGGTTCTCCGTGCTATTCGTCGCGCTGGTGGCGCGCTGGTGCCGTCGTACAAGGCACTCTGCTCGTCCGCCGACCGCGAGAACTGTCCGCCGGGCTCGCGCATTGTCGCTCGCTACGTCGTGCTACCGCACGGTGTCTCTGCCTCGTCGCGCTCCTCGATTGTCGCGTCACTGGCTACCGCCGACGTGGCACTAGTCACTCCAGACTGGGTCCTCGCCTCGCTTGCTGCCAACGAGCTTGTCGACATCACGTCGTGCCCTCTCTTTACCCCGCTCCCGGTTGCTCTCCCGCTTGCGCCGCGATCCGACGTCGTTGTCTCAGTCACCGGGTGCTGGCCCGAGCGCGATGCCATCCGGCGTATGGCGGTGGCTCTGGGAGCGACCTTTGAAGAGCGGCTCTCACGGCGTGTGACCGTTCTCGTTTGTGAGGCCGATGCGCTGGCTAGTCCAGTCGAGCCTGCCTCGAAGATTGCAAAGGCGTTGCGATGGGGCGTGAGTCTTGTTCACTCGGGCTGGCTTCGCGACTCGCTCTGGGCCGGCTCACTCCTTGACTCTGCACGATATGCAGTTGGCAAGGCTTCGAACATACTCGACGGCGTTTGCGCGGTCATCGCCGATGAACTCCAGCTCAAGGGCCAGGCTCCAGAGCTCGAACGCCTGCTGACCTCACACGGGGCCACTGTTGCGCGCTCGATCCACACCACTGGTGTCACGCACTACATCGAGGACGGCGAGAGCCGTACGTCCGCAGCTGCTGCTGCCGTCACCGCTGGCATTACACCGGTCTCGTCGCTCTGGGTCTACGACGCCATCGCCACGGGGACGCTGAGTCCTCGGGCGAGGGGAGGGCCGACTGCGGCGCGGAGCGGCTTTACGACCTCCCCGCCGGTCAAGCGCCAGCGGTCGCTGCTGGACCGCCGCCGGCCGCCGCCCGAGTCTCCAACCCTTCCGCAGCCGACGACCCAGGATCTGGATCCAGCCCCCACCGCTGCAGCCACCACACCGGGCGAGGCTGCCTCGGCGCTGCAGCGACTCGACAACGCGCGCAGTCTCTCGCAGCAGTCGGCCAAAAAAGCGACGCCGCGCCGCGCGCCGCTCGTCCGCGCGCCGGCAGCGCCGGTCTCGCTCGTCGCGCTCCGCGGCGCCGAGCCAGACGATTTCGACGCTGAGGGCGAGGGTGGGCAGGGACGCGAGGGCGATGGGCCAGGCGTGGTTGTCCACTACCGCCATCGCGACGAGGACGATGGCCGTCGCAAGCGAGGCGGGCGGAAGCGAAAGCGGAAGGACGAGCTAGTCAACGAGAGCGTCGACAGCCTTTCGAGCCTCTTACATGCCGCAGGCACCATTGTCTCGCGAAACACCGGCTCGCAGGCCTCACAGGGTTCGACAGGATCGGCACCAAGCAAGCCGCGGAGCCCGCCAATCTTCCTCCTCACTGGCTTTACCTCGACCGAGAAGGAGCAGCTCGTGCACGCGGTCAGCGCGCTCGGTGGCAGGGTCCTTGTCACGCGTGAATACGACCCGGGCTGCAGCCACATCCTCGTCGGCTCGCCGACGAGGTCAGAGAAGTTTCTCGGCGGGTGCGCGGCTGGCAAGTGGATGATGAAGGCCGAGTACATCGAGGCGTCGACGACCGCGGGCGAGTTTGTGGCCGAAGAGCCGTACGAGTGGGGCGCCGAGTACGAAGACGACGATGCCACGGTGGAGCACTCGGACACGGCGGTCCTCGCGCTGTGCGGGCGGCGGTGGCGCAAGTATCTGGCGACGCGTCGGCGCGCCGGAGGCGATGCCAACATCGGTCCGTTCACGGGCTGGAAAGTCGCGCTCAGCTTTGATGAGCACAAGCGCGGCGGCATCAAGCGCCTGCTCGAGGCCGGCAACGCGAGTGTCCACGATGGCGCGCTCACCCGCCGGGTCACCGACTCGCTCACCCACGTCTTCTTTGGACCGACAAGCAACGCGGCCGAGCTCCGGCGACTGCCGTCACACATCAAGGTCCTTTCAATGGAGTACATTGCCGACTACCTAACGGCCGTGCCCGGACTGGGCGAACTCGAGGTCGACGAGGACTTTCATGCGCTCTCGCCCGAGGGGGAGGACGAGTAGCAATGTTTGTAGCCGTAGCAGTTCAATACAATGCCGCACCCATGTACAGCTTGTCATCGTCGTCCTGCAGCTGCTGGAACTGGCGCTCGGCGAGGAGGTGCATGAGCTCCGAGTAGAGTGGCGAGGTGCGGTCGAGCGGGTTGTGATCGACCGTGAGCCGGAGGAGGGCAGTCATGTCGAGAAGCGCCGGGGTGAGCTCGGCAAGCCGGTTGCCCTCCAAGGCAAGGGTAGTCAGGCAGATGAGCTCGCCAATCTCCTCGGGCAGCGAGGAGAGGCGGTTGCCGATGAGGTAGAGACCCTGCAGCTGCCAGAGCAGGGCAATAGAGGCGGGGAGCGCCGAGATGCGGTTCGACGAGAGATCGAGGGTGCGGAGCTTGGGCAGCTGGGTCAGCGCCGGCGGGAAGACCGGGAGGCGGTTGCCGGAGACGTCGAGGAAGACCAGGTTGTCGAGCTTGGCAAAGCCGTCGCCGAGGCGCGGAAGCGCGTTGTTGGCGAGCGAGAGCTCTTCCAGCGCAGTCATGGAGAAGAAGGCCGGTGGGAGGGCCTCGATCTTGTTGTTCTCGAGGCGGAGGACGCGGAGGTGCGGGAAGCGCGAGCCAAACTGCGGCGGCAGTGTCTTGAGCGCGTTATCGGTGAGAAAGAGCTTGCGGACGTACTTGAGGCGGGTGACAAGGAACGGGAGCGAGGTGAGCTGCTTGCGGGCGAGTGAGAACATGGGCGCACGCTCACGGCCTGCCCGCTTGACCGCAGCCACCACGGTCGGGTCATCCTTGGTCTCCTGCTCCAGCGCAGGCTGGTCCGAGAACAGCACGTCCTTGAGTCGCAGGTGGCCCAGCTCGTCGGCTGCGGTGGCGGTCAGTGCCGCAAGGCTCTCCAGAGTGAGCGCCGACCCGTCTGGCGCGCGCACCTTCTCAGCAAAGAACTTGCGGAGCATGACCAGGAGCGAGCGCTTGACAATGCGCTTCTTGACCGGCGGCGCAGCGGCCTGGGCCTCGCGCCCGCCGGGTGTACCCCGCGCCTCGGCAGCGGCTGTGGCGCGGAAAGCCTCCGACCGCCGTTGCTGCCGCTCACTGCCACGGTGGTGGTGGCGGCGCGAGTGACGGCGGTCAGCGATCGAGTTGTCGGACATGGTAGGGAGCGAGAGTGTCGACTGCGAGCCGTCACCCGACGACTCGAGCGCCAGCCGCTCGTTGTCGGACATGTCAGCGAGAATGTCCTTCAGGTGACGCTCGTTGTCGGACATGCCCGAATCCGCGAGAATGGCGTCGAGTGCCGCCGTGTCGTCGCCTTCGTCGTGGAGGAGCTGGTCGATGAGGTCCTCGGTCATGACCGAGTCGTGGCGCTCGCGACGGGCCGAGAGCGCCGCAGCGCGTGGCTGCCGCGGCCGGCCCGCGTCGCCGGCGACTCGGAACAGCTCCGACTCGTTCATGGTAAAGTCTTCGTTGGTGAGCGGGAGCGGCTCACGCGAGACAACCGAGTTGTAGCCCTCGTCATCCGACGCCACCGAGTCAAGGAGGCCGAGCTCGTCGAGCTCGCCGTCGTCGAGATCAAGGCCGAGCTCGTCGTCGTCCATGAGGCCGAGCTCCGACTCGCCGTCGAGCATGATGCCATTGTCGTCATCAAGAATGCCGTGTCCGTCGTCAAGGATACCGAGGCTATCGGCGCCCGCGGCCGGTGCCGGCGCTGGTGCTTGCACCGGCGCCGCAACGGCAGCGTGGGTCGCCGCAGCACGCTCGGCGGCGTACTTTTGAACCAGTGGGTCGCCGAGCCCGTCATCAGACTCGGTAAAGTAGTCGTTGACGTTGACTGGCTCCTTGTCGGCATCGTCGACAAGGACGCGGCGGACTTGGAGTGTGTCAGAGTCGTCGGAGAGCTCGGCGGCGAGCTGCGATGGCGGCGGCGGCGCAAAGCCTTCCGAAGAGTCGTCGGCAAAGTCGGACATACCCGTGTTGTACTTGCCGGTAGGCCCGAGCTCGTTCTCTTTGGCTGCGTCGGCGGCGGCTTCTGCCTCGAGTGCGTCAAGGAGCGAGTCGCCTTCGCTCGAGCCCACAAGCAGCGACGCGTCCATTGCTGACTCAGATGATGCCTCGAGAGCAGGTTCCGGAGCAGCGATGGTGTCTGGTGGTGCGGCGGTGGTGTCTGTCTTGGTGGCCGATAGCAGGAGCGCGTCGTCCGACTCACCCGAGGTGTCGAGGAGCGGGTCCTTGACTGGAGTGGCGGCTGGCGCCGCCTCCGACTTGGGCTTGGACGCCGAGAGCAGGAGCGCGTCGTCCGAGTCGCCAGACGTGTCGAGGAGCGGGTCCTTGGCTGGAGTGGCGGCTGGCGCCGCCTCTGACTTGGACTTGGACGCCGAGAGCAGGAGCGCATCGTCCGACTCACCCGAGGTGTCGAGGAGCGGGTCCTTGACTGGAGTGACGGCCGGCGCCGCCTCTGACTTGGACTTGGACGCCGAGAGCAGGAGCGCGTCGTCCGACTCACCCGAGGTGTCGAGGAGCGGGTCCTTAGCCGGAGTGGCGGCCGGCGCCGCCTCCGACTTGGACTTGGACGCCGAGAGCAGGAGCGCGTCGTCCGACTCACCCGAGGTGTCGAGGAGCGGGTCCTTAGCCGGAGTGGCGGCCGGCGCCGCCTCTGACTTGGACTTGGACGCCGAGAGCAGAAGCGCGTCGTCCGAGTCGCCAGACGTGTCGAGGAGCGGGTCCTTGGCCGGAGTAGCAGGCGCGGGGGTGGTCGAAGTGGGGTTGGAGGGCGCAGCGGCGGTGGCGGCGGCGTCCAGCTTGGGCTTGGACACCGACAGCAGGAGTGCATCGTCCGAGTCGCCAGACGTGTCAAGGAGTGGGTCATTGGTGGGAGTGGAGCTCGCCGTAGCCTTAGGCTTGCCACCCGACAGTAGGAGCTCATCGGCCGAGTCGCCCGAGGTGTCAAGGAGCGGGTTGGACACGGCTGGCGCTGGCTTGTGGCTCGAGTCCTTGGTATTGGAGAGGATGATCTCGTCGTCCGAGTCCGAATCGAGGAGCGGATCCTTAGCATTTGCCGCGGCAATGTTGACCTCCGCCATCGACGCCTTGAGCGCGTCCGACTCGAGCGAGGAGTCGAGGACAAAGCCCGCAGCCGGCTTCGGCTCGGCCGGCTTGGTCGCCTTGGTAGCCGCCAGCAACAGGTCGTCGTCCGAGTCCGAGTCAAGCAGAGCCCGGGCAGCAGCAGATGACGTCTCCGTCGGCTTGGGCGCAGCGTCTGTCATCGAAGCCGAAAGGTCGAGGTCTTTGATGGCACCGGCGTTCTTGCCTCGTGTGAGCATCAGCTCATCGTCGTCGTCGTCCGAGCCGAGGAGGGCCGACATTCTTGATTGGCTGCCATAGCGCCGCCCATTATGTTCCGCCATTCCCAGCACACAGCAACACAACACCACCATGTGAGTCACCTCTGTCGTTCTTCTCTCGTGTCTGTACTGTACTGTACGCCCGCGGAATGGGAGAGTGGAAGGTGGGGGGGGGGGGAGGGGGGAGGGGGGGAGGGGGCGGCGGTGGCGATGGCATCAAAAACGGCAACGGCTGCAGGCAGTCACGGCAGGCAGGGGGAAGGGGATGGGAAAGGCGTACATGTCGGCCCGAGATGAAGAAGGACGCATAGTAGGCATAGTAAGATCGTCGTCGTCTGAGTCTTCAAGTAGAAGTGCGACATTGTTGCTCTTTGCACTCACATTGGTGGAGCTCTTGATGCGCGCCATCATGGCCTCAAGGTCCTCCGACGAGTCCGAGTCCATTTTGGCCAGGGCGCCGAGGGAGGAGTGCCACCGCCCGCACGCCCGTCCGCCTGCCCGCCCGCCCCACCGACACGCCGACACGCCAGCCGACACAACTGATGGCCGGTTACAAAAGGCACGTCGCCGCCTCACACACACAACGTCCACCGCAATACAAGATCAACACAAGATCATCCCAATTCAATTAACAACCTCCCACTCCTGCCGTCCTTGCTCTCCCTCTCTTTCTATCGCCATCGAGCCATGGCCTCTCTACTTCCTGATCTCAGTCCTCATGCCCATGTCACATGGAAGCCGGGGGGGGGGGGGGGGGGGGTGCGCGACTGAACGACGCCACTTTCCACAGACCACCTGGACCGGCACTTGCAGTGGCGCTGGTGAGACTACCAGTCTCCACTCTACTGCATAGCAGGTACAGGTGGTATGCCGTCTATTCTGCCGCTTTATCATGGTGGGAATGACCGTGACGGCCGCCAGGGTATTTGGAAGAGAGTCCGCCGGAGGCTGCTTGAGCTGCGACTCGACGTCATCACCTCGCGCCCGTCGACACTACTCCCGCTTCTCCTCTCGATCATCTGCTGTGTTGTCTTTGTTGTCTGTACCCTCATCTGGATGTTGAGTGGTCCCGCGGCTTCTGTACCCACACCTGCCTCCATCCTCTCGCCTCCGAGCCCGGCATCCGTCCTACCCTCAACAACCCCGGCGCCAAAGTCATCGACTGGGTCGGGCGCCGAAGCGACTGTCGACGCCAGCCGCCTCGTCGAGAGTGATGAGGCCGCCAGCGATAAGGCGCGGCAAAAGGCGGTGGTTGCTGCCTTTACACATGCGTGGGAGGGCTATCGCCGCCACGCGTTTGGCCACGACGAGATCCGGCCGACTACCAACGCGACTAACGACTCGTGGGGCGGCTTCGGCGCCGTCCTCATTGATGGGCTCGACACGATGATGCTCATGGGACTGGACGAGTACGTGGCCGAGGCCCGCAAGGTTGTCCAAGCCGACGACTTTGCGAAGGACTACTCGGCCTCGTTTTTCGAGACCACCATCCGGTACCTGGGCGGCCTGCTCGCGGCGTATGCGGCGTCGGACGACGAGCTGTACTTGACCAAGGCGGTCCAGCTCGGCGACGCGCTACTGCCGGCGTTCAACTCCAAGACCGGCTTGCCGTACCACGAGGTCAATCTCCAGACTGGCGCGGCCAAAAATCCGTCGTGGAACACCGACAACTGCATCCTCTCGGAGATTGGCAGCGTCCAGCTCGAGTTCAAAAGCCTCTCGCACTTTACCGGCGATCCCAAGTATGCTGCTGCAGCAGACTCGGTCATGGACGTTCTGTGGGAAAAGCGCGAGCAGAGTGTCGACGGGCTGTACCCCGTGTACATCTCGGCAGAGACCGGCGAGTTCCGTGACGCTCATGTCACCATGGGCGCACTCGCCGACTCGTTCTACGAGTACCTCCTCAAGCAGTGGCTCCTCACTGGCAAGTCGGAGGCCCGATACAAGGCCATGTACGATGCCTCGGTCGATGGCATGATCAAGCACCTCGTTGCCCGGTCGCAGCCCTCGGGCCGCGTCTTCCTCGGCGAGTACTCGGGAGGCCAGCGAGTCAATGTCTTTGACCACCTCATGTGCTTTGTGCCGGGCATGCTCGCCCTCGGTGCTGCCAACGAGCCCGACGCCGCCCGTAGCGCGGCCCACATGGAGCTGGCGGCCGAGCTGACGGAGACATGCTACCGCTTGTACGCCGACCAGCCGTCGGGCCTCGCGCCGGATGTTATCTCGTTCAACACGGCGTCGGCCCGACCGGGCACGCCCGACTACCGGGTCAAGTCCGGGGCGTACCTACTCCGTCCTGAGACACTCGAGTCGCTGTACATCATGTACCGCCTCACCGGCAAGAGTTTGTACAAGGAGCAGGCATGGGAGATTTTCCTCGCCATCGAGCAGCACTGTCGCACTCCCTCAGCATACTCGGGTGTGGTCGACGTCCGGCACGCCAAGCCGGAGCTGAACAACTCGATGCAGTCTTTCTTCCTCGCCGAGACGCTCAAGTACCTGTACCTCATGTTTACCCCCGAGGCCGAGGCGGTGCCGCTCGACAAGTTTGTGTTTACCACCGAGGCGCACCCGCTCCCGATCTTCCAGACGAGCGCAGGTGGGTGAGTCTGCGCTCATGACGACGCGGCGTGCGGGCGCAGGTGGTCGTTGAAAAACGCGAGCAGCGAGTTGGCGATGTACTCGCGGGTCGCCTGCGAGCGCGGGGCATGGCGCTCGGACGGCAGCAGCAGCAGCTGGTGGTGCTTGCCGGCGGCAATGAGCTTGTTGATCAGGAGCGCGGTGTTGCGGAAAATACGTTCTCGTCGATGAGGCCGTGGATGAGAAGGAGCTTTGCCGACGGCGCCATGCCGTCAACATGGGTGAGGACCGACGACGCGTGGTAGCCGTCTGGGTTCGACTCGGGTGTGCCCATATACCGTTCGGTGTAGTGGGTGTCGTACAGGCTCCAGTCGGTGACGGGCGCACCGGCGATGGCCACGTGGAAGGTCGACGAGGCGCGGAAGAGTGCCGAGAGCGACATGTACCCGCCGTACGACCAGCCAAAGATGCCGACAGCGCTGGGGTCGGCGACGCCGGCGGCGACCAGATGCTCCACGCCCGAGACCTGGTCGGCGACCTCGACCTCGCCCATGTTGTGCTTGATGGCGCCCTCAAAGGCCAGGCCGCGGCGGGCCGAGCCGCGGTTGTCGACCCGGACGACTGCGTAGCCTGCCGAGACCAGCATCTGGTCCTGCATGTTTGCCGTTGCCCGTGACCAGTTGTCCAGCACGTACTGGACATGTGGCCCGCCATAGACATGGACAATGGTCGGGTACGGGCCCGGCCCGTGCGCAGCTGCATCCGGCTTGAACACCAGGCCGTGGAGCTCGGCGCCGTCGGCAGTGGTAAATGAAAAGAGCTCCGGAATCGTGAGGGCCGAACCAAGTCGGGCGTAGGCCTTGTCTGAGGCCGCCGCGTCAAAGACCGGTTCGCCGCTTCCGACCGGCACGAGCGCCAAGGCGTTTGCGTCAAAGGCAAAGACCTGGACCTTGGTCGGCGCAGCGGCGGAAGACCACGCGTCGACGACGTGGGTGCCAAGTGGCGAGACGGCAGTGACATGGACGCCCGGCCGGTCGGCGGTGAGCGCCACTGGCGGCGCGGAGCCGTCAAGCTTGACGGCGCAGAGGTGGGTGTGGGTGGGCCCGCCAAGAGTCGACTCGAAGAACACAACACCGGCGTCGAGGGCCACACCGCGGATGGCAGTCACCATGTACTCGCCCGATGTGAGCGTGCGGACAAGCGAGCCATTGGCGGCGTGATAAGTGAGGTGCAGGAAGCCCGAGGCTTCCGAGGCGTAGAGGAACGCGCCGTCGGCGTCGGAGCCGAGCGGGGTGTATAGGTCGTGGAGGTTGATCCACACCTTGGTGACCTCACAGAACAAAAGGCTCCTCTCGCCAGACACCGGATCGACACGGATGAGCTGCAGCGTTGTCTGCGCCCGGTCCTCGAGCTCGATGACGAGCGAGCCGTCAGCCGGGTCCCAGTGGGCGCGGGCGAGGTAGGTCTCGGCGTCAGGCGAGGCGGCGCCAGGCGTGTCGACTGAGAGCAGAGAGAGCGGGATCCAGAGTGTGTCTGTCGCCTCGCCGACGAGTGTGTTGATGCCGAGGCGGGTGGTGCAGTTGGAAGCACCGGCAAAGCAGTATCGATGCTCCTCGGTCGAGAGCTTGTCGTCGCCCTGGCGGGCGATGGCATATTGCGGAATATGCGACGAGTCTGTTTGGGTGAAGGCCACACGTGAGGCGTCAGGCGAGAACCAGTACCCGGTGTAGCGACCCATCTCCTCCTGGGCGATGTAGTCGGCGAGGCCGTTGATGGCCGCCGTGCCGCGGGCGCCAGAGGTGACCTGTCGCGGCTTTGAAGCCGGCCTTTTCTCGGGCGCGTCTGCGGGAGGCAGATCGACAACGTAGACCTCCGAGTCAAAGACAAACGAGACGCCCGAAGCGTCGGGCAAGAAGCGGGCATCGAGGAGCGAGTCTGCGGCGGCCGACTCAGGCACAGCGGCGCGCATGTCGTCGAGCGAGAGGAGGGTAAAGAGCGGCGAGTCTGGTGGCGAGGACTGAACGCGCAGCGCGTTGTGGGCCGGGATGAGCACGCGGCCAGTCTTCTTGTGGACCTCGTACTTGTAGACGCCGAGAGCGAGGACTCGCTGGCGCTCACGACGGAGCTTCTCTTCCTCAGACAGCTCGGCCTCTGACATAGCAGCGGCAGCAGTAGAGCTTCCAGACTCGTGTGCAGCGACAAAGTACGGAGAGAGGCCAGGAGTAGCATCATCATTCCAGCCGAGCTGCTGGACCTCCTGGACCAGCGAGCCGTCCGCGGTAGCCAGGCAGAGGGCGACAGGCACGTCCTTGGTCGCTGTCTCGGCAACCTGGAGGAAGGCAAAGGAGGAAGGACTCGCCGTACCCGGCGGCGGGTAGCGTGCAGCGTCGGTCGGTGTGATAGTGGCCATAGTGTGCCGAAAGATGGAGGGAGGTGTGGAGGGGTGTGGCATTGTGTGCGTGTCCTTTGGGGTGGGAGGAAGGAAGGTCGCGTTGTCTTGCGGTGACGGAGGGGGGGGGGGGGGGGGGGATGGCGCGACAAAGGCAAAGACAAAAGCGAATTGCCGATGGTTCAGGTGGGCGAACTAGCAAGCGGGCTGTGGTGGTGGTCGATAGGGTCGGAGTAGGGCGAGTGAGCGAGTGCGCGAGCAAGTGCGCGAGCGAGTGCGCGAGCGAGTGCGCGAGCGAGTGCGCGAGCGAGTGGGCGAGCGAGTGCGCGAGCGAGTGGGCGAGCGAGTGGGCGAAGTGGGCGGAGTGGGCGAGAGGGCAGAGTGCGGGCACCACTTGACCACCGTCACAGACAAACGACAGCTTGAGCAAAGACAGACAAATATAGATACATACATAATCATCATCACGTCATGTCGGATGTGGACCCAGGATTGCTGGCCCAGTTCACGGCCATGACCGACGCTGACCCTGGGGTGGCTGCTGCCTTGTTAAGCGTAGGTTGGGCGAGGGAAGGCTGCTACCAGTGCGACTCGGGTGTGAAGGAGTGGTGCGGGGGGGAGAGGCATGGGAGCGGGGATGGAGGGATAGCTAACGAGTAGTGATGGGTATCGAATGGATGGAGTGGGGGGGGGGAGTCGGGGCTGTTTCCATGGCGTGCAATGGGTGGCTGCGGCGTGATCTCGGACGGTGCGATGCTGGCGGTCTCTGAGCAGGACTATCAAGGCGATGTCAACATGGCGCTGGATGCATACATGAACATGGCTGGTGGAGCAGGAACGGAGTCGACAGCATCGACGTCTTCGGGTGCACAGGCGCCGGTGACGCGGAAGAGGTCGCGGTCACAGTCGTCACGAACGAATCAAGTGTTGGAGGACGAGACGGCGACGCTCGAGGCGGAGGGCGGGGCTGGCGACGACGATGGAGTGCGCGCGCCGATCAAGCGCCGGCGGACGGCGTTGTACGATGACCTTGAGGCCACAGCCGGCTCGTCAACGACGATGGTGGCGCCGGGAAGACGACGGGCAGCGCAGTCAGCGCGGCGGACAGCATCCGACCTCCGCCGGGCGCTGGCGGGTGGGCTCGCTGGCGGGCTCACCGCCGCCGACGAGCTGCAGGCCTTTCGCGACTTTCGGCGCGAGGAAGCCTTGTTCAATAGGCTTGATCCGGGAGGGACCAAGCGTGAGAGCCTGGCGCGCATGTACCAGCCGCCACGGCACCTGATGACCGACGGCACGCTCGACGAGATCAAGAACCTGGCCGAGTCGACACATCGGTTTGTGCTCGTCAACGTGCAGGACATGAATGAGTTTGCATGCAACGTTCTCAACCGCGACGTGTGGTCCGATGAGCGGGTCGCGCGCGCTGTCCGCGAGTCGTTTGTCTTTTGGCAGATTCCGCATGCCTCGGAGGCCGGCGCTTACTTTTGCACTCTCTACCAGGTCACCTCATTCCCGTACCTTGCCATCCTCTACCCACAAACTGGCGCTGTAGCCAAGGTGTGGGAGACGCCGCCGTCGGCTGACCAGCTCGTCGATGACCTCGGCGCATTTGTCCGCTCGGTGCTCGAGCCGCAGCAGGAGTCGACCATCATTGACGCCACCGAAGACGAGCAGCTCAAGGCTGCCATTCAGGCCTCACTGGCGGCGTCGACCGCCAGCGGGACCGAAACCGTCATCTCGCTCGATGACGACGACGACGACGATGACACTGGAGCCATCGCCATCTCTGGCTCGGACTCGGACTCGGACGTTGTCATCATTGTGCCCGACGACGATGACGAAGACGACGACGATGACAACGAAGATGACGGCGATGAGGACAACATCAATGACGCCGGTGGCGACCAGGCTGCAGGCGTCGAGGTGCTGCCCCCTGAGCCCGCAGCAGGCACGCCGGACACGACCCGGATCAAGTTTGTGTTCCCCGATGGCACTTCGTTGGTCCGGCGGTTTGCACTTGACTCGCCGGTCCGCCATCTGTTCGTTTTTGCCGCCGCTGCGCCCGGTGCGCCATCCGGCCTCGACCTCGTTGTCCCGCCGCGGAGCTCGCTGAGCAGCGAGCGCGAGCGCAGCCTTGCTGACGCCGGCATCCGCAACGCCATGATCCGCGTTGTGACCTCGTAAAAGGCGTCGACTACTGGTGAGGCAGACAACTCGTTTACCAGCGCCGAACAGGCGGAAGGGAGAGTGCGGTGGGAGCGGAGACGGGAACGCGGATCAGAAGATGCAACAGATGGCCGCCAAGTAGGGATACTTGAACCAGAGCCGGGTGCCAGGACGAGAGCAGCCGATACATTGCCTCGAGCCTGGATACGCCGGCTTGGGGCTGTCGAACTTGGCCCGCGCTTGTTTGCGGAGCCGAGTCCAGCAGCAATTATGCTGCGAGCCATCGGGCGTCGGCGAGCACGGGTGGTGCCGTCGCAGTGGACGACCAAAGATTTCCCCGTGCCGCGTCATGAGCGCGCAGGCGCGATAATCGCATAGCCTGCGCGGGTCGTTGCGGCTTCTACTTGGCGCATGCCGCCTCCACGCCGCACTCGCTCCCGCCAGCACGAATCGCGGGCGACGAGGCTGCGAAAGGAGGAAAATGCGAGGCAATCAATTGTGAGAAACTACTCGGAGAAGCCCTTCTCCCTCATGGCCGCCACGAGCTCGTCCTCGGTAGGGAAGCCCTGGCCACTGAGCTTGGACCAGTAGACGGTGCCAGCGTCGTCGGTGACCTCAAAGGCCCCAGACCGCGGCGATCCCTCGGGATTGCCCGCCACTTCCACGTCCGATCCAAATGCCTTTTGGATCCAGGACACGGCGCGGCGGTATCGGCTGAAGTACCCTCAGTTGGTACTGGGGAGCAGGTACAGGAGAGGGGGGGGGGTGAGTGAGGGAAGGGGAAAAAATTGTGGGCAACGGGTGCCACCCGCACACATTGGCCATGGCGCCACCCGCACACGTTGGCCATGACGCCAGCCGCAGCCGCAGCCGAGGTCGCGTTCGCAGGAGGCGGGAGGGGGTTGGAGAGCGAGGCAAGAGGGGAGAATAGGGGGGGGGGGGGGGGGGGGGATGTGGGGAGGGGGCGTGGGGGGAGAAGGAAGGAAAGGCGTACCAGTACTCGATGGTGATGCTCTTAGACGACATGTTGCAGGTGTGCGGCAGTGGAGTGTGAAAACTATCGAACGTTGGTCGATGGCTCGAGACTGCCAACCTTTTCATTGGGTCGGATTCGGTCAACGTCAGCCTTGGCTTGCAAGGTCGCCTTGCAGAGGCAAGACGGCGAAGAATAATGGACCAGGGTACGAACGAGTACTTGATTCATATGTGCTGGATCCTACGATGACGATGACTCGTACGAGTAATCGTCGTCCTCAGCGTCGGGATCCGGTTCGTCCTCGTGCTCGCCGAGGTGCGGGATTGGGAAGCGGAGGATGGCGGCGATGCCGGTGAGCTGGGCCAGCTGCTCGCCCGAGACGTGGAGGGTGGAGAGAATGACGGCGTTGCCGCCCGACTCGCGGACTTCCTCGACAAGACCGACGTATTGGGCGCGCTCGGCGAGCGAATCGGCGCGGAAGAGGTTGTCGGTGAGGAGGAGGACCTCGACGGCGCCCATGGCGACGGCGAGGCGGACGTGGCGGAGGCCGTAGCAGGCCGAGTCCTCGTCAACGCGCAGCGTGTCAAAGAAACGGGCCAGAAGGGCGACCTCGGACGCCGCCTTGGTGTCGGACATCTGGGCGACAACGCCCGGGTCGGCCAGAACTTCCTTGAGCGCGTGTTTGTGGCCGGACGACGAGTGGGCGAGGAGGAACTTGGGGCGGAACTCGAGCATGGCGCGGTCCTCGGCAGCGGTGGCCTTGGCCATGATGGCATCAAGGGCCGAGGCGTTGACAAAGCCGGGTGAGGCGAGGATACAGACCTTGATGCGGTCGAGGTCGATGTGTGTCTTGAGCGCCACGTAGATGGCGGCAAAGAAGCGGGCAAGCGCCTTGTCGTGTTGTGCCGCCGAGTGCTTGCGCTTTCGTGGAATGGCCATTTCGATCTTTTGCCGAACGACAGTCATCGACGAGGTGATGAGGCAGACGTACGCGAGACCCTCTTGCATGACAACCGCAGCAACCTCGGCCGCCGATCTCACGTCACAAGCCTCCTTGAGCCGGTCGTGGTACATCGAGTCCCACTCATCCTTGCTCAACTTCAGCTTGCGGTTGAGCACAATGGTGTGCGAGTGGTACCCGCCAAGCTTGACGTCCTTGGACTCGGAGACGTTGCGCCCCGAGACGCGGATCTCCGAGTCCGCCGCCTCGTACGACACCCGCTCGACACGGATAGCGAGCCGGATCTTCTTGCGCTCGGCCTCGGACGAGCCCGTGGCGGTCGAGCGGACAACCTTGCGGACCGTCGACATTTCCAGCACATCTCCAGGCGCAATGAGGTTGTATACATGCCACAGATCGTCCAACTCGTTTGGAATGACCACCACATAGCCCGAGCCCGTCCGGTCGAACTTCTTGCCCACAAGCTTCATAGTTTGTGGCGAGGAAGAGAGAGAGAGAGGTGCAGGGGTAGGTTTGGTAGAGGGTGGCAGAGGTGGGGTGAGGAGAGGTGGGTGCAATCGTGAGCAATAGGTCGAGCACGAGTATGAGGCAGACCAAGTCCCGCTAGCAGGGAGAGCTCCAGCTCTGTTCAGACACTCGCACACAGCACGAGACAACAGGACATCAGGGATCAGATACCGAGAATGTGACATAGGTGGCTGATGCGCCTTGTGGGTCGCGATCTGGATGGGGCTTTCGCTGTTATCCTCCCCCATCCCCCCCCCCTTCCCTTGGTCAAGTCGCGCGTCCAGGAGAGCGACTCAGCAGAGAGGGCGACTTGGCCAAGACCGCCAGCCACAGCCACAGCCACACCACGCTACTGGCGCGGCACACTTGTCTTGGGCAGCTGTGGGAAGATGGCTAGCATGCGCAAGAGTGCAGACTCGTTCGACATTGTCATCGACAGAACAAGGACGTGTAGCAACTGCAAGACGAGCCCAGCCAACGTAGTCGAAGGTATGTTTGTGGTGGTGGCTCTCAGGTCGAGACCAAAGTCGGGAAGCGCTGGCGGTGATGCGGGGAGCGGGCGGCAGGCGAGTATGGACTCATCGAATAGACCGGCTGGTGAAATTCTGGACGTGATGCGGGGTTGGGCATGTGGGGGAGGGGGGAGATAGACTTTGACGGAGGCATGCTCATCTGCCGCGACTGTGGGATGGTGTTCAGAGAGGCTGTGCTCGACTACCGCGAGGAGCGGCGGAGCATCAAGTCGGACGATGGTAACGAGAAGGATCACTCGCGGTCGACAGCTACCAACAACACTCTCCACACATCGGGCCTGGGCACAGTGGTAGGCAAGGTCCGCGGACGCGCATTCATGACCAAGGCCGAGAAGCAGCTGAAGAAGCGCAAGCAGGAGGCGATGCCGGCCATCGACAGGCTGCTGCTTCAGGGCAACGACTGCATCCGGACCTATGCCGAGCACCTGCAGGTCCCGCCCAAGATCACCGACATTGCGCAAAAGCAGTTCAAGGAGTTTGTGGAGAAGATGACGCCCGTCGGCGCGAGAGCCATGGGCAACGAGCCGCCGGTCAATGCTGTCAACCTCAAGCCCATCAAGAACAAGAACACCAACCTGCCCGAGTACGCCGCCGTCGCACTCCTCTGGGCATGCCGCCTTGAAAAGGTGCCGCGGACGCTCAAGGAGCTGCACAAGATCCTCAAGATCAAGCAGAAGAAGATCCGCGCTGCCCTTAAGGCCTACCGCAACATCGCCGGCCTCTCCGACGCCGCCAAAACCTCGCACGCAGACTACCTGGGCCGTTACGTCTCTGAGGTCGGCATGTCGCACGCCCTCATTCGCGTGGCCCAGGCCGCCGCCAACAACGTCAAGCACATCGACGAGCTCTCCGGCAAGCGCCCGCAGACCATCTCCGCCGGAATCATCATGCTTGTTGCCACCATCGCCAACGAGAACATCAGCGTCGATCGCATCACCGCCACCACAGGCGTCGCCGCCACCACCGTCACCAAGACCCACCAGACTATGGTCTCGCACCAGGAACAGCTTCTCCCGCGCGACTTTCTCCTCAAGTACGGCATGCTGCCGTCGTCGTCAACAGTCCCGCCGCAGTAGACGCCACAGAACCTCATTGTATCCATGGTCACAATGATGATGATGACCATGACCATAGCCATTGTAAAGGAATAACTTTGACCGGGAGCAAGAAGAACATGCCGCTGATCAGTCTCCGTCGGGCGTTGGGCCCGCCGCCACAGCCAGCTGCGTGTCCGCGACGCACCGTGAGCAACACCAAAGTTCGGCAGCCCAGCACCACCACTCACACCACTCACACACACACCACACACACACACACACACACACCACTCGACATGAGGGCATTTGCAGCAGGCCTCCCCAGTCAAGGCCTTCTCACTGCTCCAAACCTTGAACTTCCTGTACGGACCCAGACCAGCTGCTCCCCTTCCCTTGCCCCCCCTTCCTCCTTCCCCCTCGCTTCCTCAATCACTCACTCGCTCCTTACACACCCGCGCAGGAGACGAAACAGCTCCAACGGGTCCTTCCGTCCTCGGCTACAATCTCTGGCTGTCGCATTGGCAACGATGAGCGGTCCAATGTTTTGTCACGGTTCCTCACCCCGGGTGCAGAGGCCGAGTCTGCACGGACGCGGAAGCGATCGCAAGCGAGGCTGGAGAGCCTGGCTCGGGGGAAGACCGCGACTGCAGCTGCACCAGTGACGGGCACGGGTGTGCCACGCACGCCACCGCGGCGGGATTGCTCGTTTGACCTCTCGCTCGACGCCGTCACGGCACTGCTACCGTCGCCGTCGCCGGCCAGTCGACGTAAGCGTCCGCGTGAGGGTGAGCGCAAGCGCGAGCCACTGGTTAGCCGCGATGCCAACACGCTTCCACAGCCACAGCCGTGCTCGCACCCGCACCCGCACTCGCAGTCGGCAAGCTTGAGCCTGGCGGCACTGACACAGCCGCCCGTGGCCAAGAAGCACAAAGCGCTGCAGGCCAAGCCGGCCGGCGCACGATCGCGGTCGCGGCGCAACCCGTTTGCCGTTTAAGCTCTGCTGGGCTAGCTGGCGGCGGCAAGCGCGATGGCAAACTGCTCAAAGACGCCGTCGATGCACGCCCACGAGGTGTACTCGTGCTTGTGGTGTCCGGCGGAGCGGTTGATGCACTGCGAGCCCTTGGCCTTGACGGTGGCGCCCATGGCGCGGCGCGACGCGATCCAGTTGACAAGTCGCGTCTTGACAAACTCGCGGACCCGTGGCGAGAACATCCGGTGGTCGAACCGGTTCATCGAATCGGTGTACGCAATGGCGGCGAGGCCGGCGTCGAGAAGCTCGTCGCCATGCTGCTCGAGCAAGAATGTGGTGCACACGCCGCCGAACGAGTGTGCAACAATGGCGATCTTGGCCGCCGGCGAGGCCCGAATGAAGTTCTGGTACACGTACAGGCTGTGGGCCTCGGGCGTTTCGGAGCCATCGACGTATCGGTGGAGAGGTTCGCCGTCGGCAGCCTCGCCGACCTTGACTCTGTTCTCGTTCGGGTTAAGGATAGCGAGCGCGTAGCCCTCAGCGAGCGCGCGCTCAATGTACGGCAACATGCTGCCCTCGTCGAGCGTGTTGTTCATGCACAGCTTGCGCGCCCACATGCCGGCCCGCACCGCGCCGGCTCCATGAATGAGTACCATCAACTTGTCTTTGTTGGTGTAAAAATCGCGCGAGAGGAAGACCTTGGATGTCAGCTCGTCGGCGCCCACGCCCTCAGCCCGCACCGTCGCGCATCCGGCCTCACCCGCCGCCACTGTTGCCTCAAACAGCTCCCGCCCAGATGTTTCCTTGATCGGAAGCGTCACTTCGACCAACCCGTATAGCTCGCGCATCAGCCGCTGGATGTGAACAATGACAGCATCGCCCAGCGCATCGTAGTGCTTCTGGCCCTGCCACTCAAAGCCCTCGCCGGACTCGATCTGCACCATCCGTCCGCCCCGAAAGCAGTACCCGCATGCGGTCATCTCGGACGAGACAATGGCATCAGTCGGACTTGCCGAACACCCTGTCGCTCCAGCGCCGCCAGCCTGGCCTGCGGTAGCGCCGGCGCTTTCATCACATCCAGTCGATGGGCCTGGCGCCTCGGGCGTGTCGTCCGCTACCACCGTGGCCGCCTCCACAAGCGCCTCAATCTCAGCTCCAGCCTCCACCTCGTCGCGACGCACAAGCTCTTCGTCCACGTCCATAACTTTCTCAACCGCGACTTTGTCGAGTGAGATACTGATGGACCAAGGTGCGTGTGGTGGTGTGCTGGTCTGGCTGCGCACTGCACTGTGCTTGTGCTCTCCATTCCTTCCTACCTTCCTTCCATTTTCCATCAACGGCTCGCTGATGATACGGGCAGCGCACGGCATAGCCCACTATCGATCACATTCGATGATTCTGGATGAACACACTGTTGTTTATCCGTACCTCCTCGCCAACGCATCAGCCGACCCACGGGCAGAGCTTGGTGGCGATGATCGTGTGCAGACACCACGGCGTCGGGGTGCTCAACTATCAGAGACGACTCTCGACACAATAGCAACGTTGTACAGACCATGGCGAGCATATCTAGCTCAACCCTACCCATCCCATCCGTCACCGCGAAGGCTCACCTAACAGATCGGGGGGTGAGGGGCAAAATAGATGGTACGATGATCGGCAGATATCCAGCTAGCTCAAACCACGCAGCGTCACCATCACTTGCGATCATGTGTGGAACGTGGCCTCAAGCTGGGCTTCGACAACATGCAACTCATCACGCTTCTCCCGACGAAGTTTGTGCGGATCGGCGGTGCGGAACAAGACCTTGCCCTTGCGCGCGTAGACAACTGGCGCGCCACTGACCGGAAGCTGCGACAGCTCGGCCACCTCGGCCTCCAGAATCTCCCGCTGTAGTCCATCATCCCACCACCACCCACCACCACCCCATCCACACCATTCATCCATGCCATCGCCATCCATACCATCGCCATCGCCATCGCCATCGCCGTCATTGTCTCGTCCATCAGTCCACGCAAGGTCAAGTTACCGTAACCCCCCCCCCCCCCGCCCCCCCACCCACCACCACCACCACCACCACCACCACCCTCCCTCCCTCCCTCATACATCGCATACACAACTCCTCATTCCCGCACATACCTTTGTTGCAAGCTCAGCCACCTTGTTCTGCCCGTCCATCCTGCACACGTGTCCAAGTCGAGTGAGTCTGGAAGACCGTCGTCATTCGCCGGCAAGCGAAGCTAGCACAGCTGATGACACAGATCAGAACAGATCCATCCAGGTCGGCGGAGGAAGACACAAGGCACAGCCACCAAAACAGCACAGCTACTACCTCTAATTGGTACCTCATCATGCTTTGGTACGAAGTAATACAACATCCCAGCCCATGATGGGACATAGCTAGCTCGCCCTTGCCCCTCCCCCCCCCCCCCCCCCCCCCTTCCGGCATCAACGCCAAACACCGCAGCCGCCCACCACAGCATCCAAAGGACATCCCTCCAACGTTCTTTTCACATGGCAACGGTATTAGTAGCCCCGATGGCGCAAACGGCTCCAAAGTATGGCTGCTCTCTGCTGGTGCGGGCGAGAGCGGAGAGGCGACGAAATGGCGACGGCGGAGCAAACGGGCAGAGAGCAAAAGGAGCGGGAGGGGAGGGGGGCAGCGGGAGCGGGAGGAGACACTCCTCGTGAACAAGTGCTAAGCGGAGGATGAGGGTGGCACTGGCAAGTCTGCTGGACATCAACCGGGCATTGGAGGATGGAGATACTAGTGTACTGGCACTCTCGGGTGGTGTGGAGGGTCTGGCTGACGCTCTGGCCTCGTCAACGTCGGCAGGTCTGTCGTCCAGCGCCGTAGTTGACGACGCTCTCCTTGCTCGGCGGGAGATGTACGGGACGAACAAGATTGAAGAAGAGCCTGCTGCCAGCTTTTTCGCTCTCTTCTGGGAAGCTTCTTATGGCGACCTGACCATGCGCATTCTGCTCGTTGCTGCCGCTGTCTCGCTTGTCGTCGGCACGCTCGAAGACAACAAGCTGGGGTGGATCGAGGGTTTTGCTATTTTCCTTGCCGTCTTTATCGTCGCCATGGTCACTGCCACCAACGACTATATCCAGGAGCGCCAGTTCAAAAAGCTCAACGATGTCAAGCAGAGCTTTTCGGTCAAGGTTCTCCGGGGCGGTGAGGAGGTCTCCATTCTGGTGTTTGATGTCGTGGTCGGCGATGTGGTAGTCCTCGAGCGCGACGACGCCGTCCCGGCAGACGGCATCCTCATCCACGGCGACTCGATCCTGCTCGACACCTCGCAACTCAACGGTGAGTCTGTTGAAACTCGGGTCCACCCTGGCGCGCCGTTCCTCCAGTCAGGCACCCGCATCTCACAAGGCTTTGGCACAATGCTTGTCACCGCAGTCGGCGAGCACACACTGTGGGGCGAGACGCTCGCCCTGCTCTCCAAGGGCAACCCAGAGCCCAAGACGCCGCTGCAGCGCAAGCTTCACAAGCTTGCCACTGACATCGGGAAGGCCGGATTCGTCTTTGCTATCATCGTCTTCCTCGTCCTCACCATCTCGTTCCTCATCAAGGAGTCGCAAACCAAGGACGGCGTCGAGGCCGATACCCACACCTTTTCGGAGATCCTCGAGTTTATTATCATCGCCATCACCATTGTTGTTGTCGCTGTGCCCGAGGGCCTCCCGCTGGCGGTCACCATCTCGCTCGCGTACTCGATGTCGAAGATGTACAAGGACAACAACCTTGTCCGTCGCCTCGTCGCTTGCGAGACCATGGGCGGCGCCACCCAGATCTGCTCCGACAAGACGGGAACGCTAACCCAGAACAAAATGCTCGTTGCCGCCGGCTGGTACTTTGGCGCCAGCTACGTTGATCCTGCGATTGGCCCGCCAAGCGCGGCAGACTTTGGCATCACGCCTGCTGCACGGTCCTACGTCACCCTCCTTGCCGAGGGCATTGCTGTCAACTCGTCGGCGACGCTCCATGCCGCGCCAGCCGAGCCAGCTCAGGGCGAGGCTGACGCCGAGGCCGGCGCCGCACCCGTGCCGGGCGTCACCATCATCGGCTCCAAAACCGAAGGCGCTCTGCTCCTGTACGCTGGCACAAACCTTGGGACGCACTACGGCCCGCTGCGGGCGGCTGCAGACTTCCGCAAGCGGTTTTCGTTCTCGCCGATCAAGAAGCGCATGTCCGCCATTGTGCGCAAGCCGACCGGCGGCTTCCGCCTCCACATGAAGGGCGCAGCCGAGATTGTGCTTGGCATTGCGCAGTACACATTCGGGGCGTCGGGCGAGGCTGAGCTGATCACCCCGTCCAAGCGCGCCGAGCTCGAGGCTCTCATCGGCGAGCTCGGCTCCATGGGCCTCCGCGTCCTCGCCCTCGGCTACGCCGACTACGAGCACGACACCCCCGAGTGGGACGGCGACGACGAGCCCGACGACGTGCCGCTCATCCTCCTCGCCCTCGCTGCCATTGCTGACCCGGTTCGGCCCGAGGTACCGACTGCGGTCGGCGAGTGCATGGACGCCGGCATCACCGTCCGGATGGTGACCGGCGACAACGTGCTGACGGCCTCGCACATTGCCCGCGAGTGCGGCATCCTCGGCGACGGCGACGTCGCCATCGAGGGCTCGGTCTTCCGCAACATGCCGCGCGAGGAGGTCCTTGAGATCCTCCCGCGACTCCGGGTCATTGCCCGCTGCTCGCCCAAGGACAAGAACGTGCTAGTCAACATGCTCCGTGAGCAGGGCGAGGTGGTGGCGGTGACCGGCGACGGTTCCAACGACGCACCGGCGCTCAAGGACGCCGACGTTGGTCTCTCGATGGGCATCATGGGCACCCGCCTCGCTATTGATGCCTCGGACATTGTCATTCTCGACGACAACTTCAAGTCGATTGTCAACGCCGTCGTGTGGGGTCGTGGGGTCTTTGACAACATCCGCAAGTTCCTCCAGTTCCAGCTCACCGTCAACGTTGTCGCGCTCTCGCTCGCGCTTGTCGCCGCCGTCGGCCAGCGCGGCATCCCGCTCAAGGCCGTCCAACTCCTCTGGGTCAACCTCATCATGGACACCATGGCTGCGCTCGCGCTTGGCACCGAGGTTCCGACCCGCGACCTGCTCAGGCGCGCGCCGTATGGCCGCGACATTGCGCTCATCTCGCCGGTCATGTGGCGCAACATCATCGGTCAGTCTGTCGTCCAGCTCGCCATCCTCATCCCGCTCCTCTTTGCCGGCGAATCGCTCCTCAATCTCGACACCTCGGCCAACCCGCAGGACCTCATCTACCTCGAGACACTCATCTTCAACATCTTTGTCATGCTCCAGGTCTTCAACGAGATCAACGCCCGCAAGGTCAACAACGAGTGGAATGTCTTTGAAGGCTTCTTTACCAACGCCATCTTTGTTGGCGTCATCATCATCACCCTCATCCTCCAGGTCTTTCTTGTCCAAGTCGGCGGCCGCATCACCAACACCACACAGCTGACCGCTATCGAGTGGCTTGTTTGCATTGCCATCGGCCTCATCTCGCTCCCGGCCGGTGCACTTATCCGCCTTATCCCAGTCTCATCGGGCACCACCGATGCTCAGTCAACGCGCATCGGCGAGCGGACTGCCGACGATGACCGTGTTCCGCCGACGCCTGGCAGTGACGACGACGACAGCGGCATTCCGCCGGCCCCGCTCCCGCCTACCACCCGCCCCGTCAATCTCCCGCCGACGTCAGTCGTCCGCCCGCTCCCGCCGTCGGTCCTGCCCTCGCTTCCACGGCCAATCCACGCTCCGACCCTCCCCAACCACCTCGCCCATCACACTCCCGCCACCGAGATGTGCTCGGCCTCGGGATCTTACTCGGGCTCGGCCGTCGACGATGGCGATCTCCCCTACACCCACAACGACTCTACAGATCACCTTCCTGCAGGCGATGTCGAGGACACCGTTCCCCTCGCCTTTGCCCCAGTCGAGCCGCCGCTGCCGTAGCTCCCCCAAAAAACAACCAACCAACCAATGATGATGATGGTCAGAGCCGTCGCTGCGCTGCTTGTTCGAACAGAAAGAAGAAACCCCCCCATCCCGTCCCTTCGCAGAAAAAAATAGAGTCTGTTGCGCAACTGGCGACATGTGCGCCACGCGCAGACCACCACCGAACACACACACACACACACACACACACACACACAAACAACCTCTACAACCATTTCCACCCCTCTCGCTCCAGCACCAAGCACACCATGTCTGGTTCAGGAAAGGAAGCTAAAGGTTCCAAGAAGGATATGCCCCCGCGGCGCCGCTGCTCCCGGCGTCGTCCACAGCCCAAGCCACGTTCGACCTCGCCCAGCGGGTTGACCAGGACCAAGACCAAGACCCCCACGGCAACGTCAACGTCAACGTCAACGTCGACATCAACCATCACCACCGTGGTGAGCGGAAATGACTCTGGTCGGAAGCGGAAGAAGCTGGTCATCTCACGTAGTGGTGGGGACTCGTCTCGGTCGTCCGGTCCGCCACCGCCGTCCACGGGCTCTGCAGCTGTTGTCCAGCCGGCCGTCGTCCAGCCGGCTGTCGTCCACCCACCGCCGACAATCGATGATGCTGCCACCATCGAACCGGTTAGGCGGTGCAAGATCGTGCCGAGAAAGGAGCTGAAGCGCTGCGATGTGCCCCACCCGAAAAGGTGCAAGCGGGCCAAGCCGAAGAAGACTCCCCCTCCCAAGCGGTGTGCTCGGGTGGCGCCCAGAAACGACCGGCTGACCTTGGATGAGCCCCGCCTTACATCTCCGCTCGCCCCTGCCCCGCCACCGGTCGCCTGCGCCCGCATATCGCCGCCGTCAATCCTAACCGCGCCCGCCCCTGCCCCGCCACCGGTCGCCTGCGCCCGCATATCGCCGCCGTCAATCCCAATCGCACCCGCCCCTGCCCCGCCACCGGTCGCCTGCGCCCGCATATCGCCGCCGTCAATCCCAACCCCGCCCGTGCCTGTCCAGATGCCCGACTTCAGACCTCACATTGCATGCTCACGGGTGGCACCGCGGATGCGCGAACTCGAGCGGGATGTCGTGTGTGAGGTCCCACCGCGGCGCGAGTCCTCGCCCGACTCGATCGACTCTCTCTATTCACCGCGGGATTTGATAGATGACATTCAGTGTGCGCGGGTCGAGCCGAACTTTGACTACTCTAGCGACAGCGAGTTGATTGCTGCACCGAGCCAGCCGTCGTGGTGGGACGATACGATCAAGGAGCCGTCGCCAGCCTGCCTGGGCCTCCCGGGCTCATCGGTTCCCTCGCTCGCTAAGCTCTGCATCAAGACGATGCTTGACGAAGGTGTGTACTTTCGCGACGAGCCGCAGGTGGTGGCCCAGGTTGAGGCCGAGATGCGGTCATTCCCGTTCCTCAACCTCAAGGACCCGCGGCCGGCCGACGAGTGGCCAGCAGCGACGCTGGAAGCTCTGAGGCAGCCGTTGGAGAGCGACGCGTGCGTGCCGGCCATCAACGTTGCAGTGGACCTGGAGGACACTGCCGGTCGCATCTACGACCTCGTCACTATGGTCGATAGCTGCGAGCAACTCGCTGATCGAGCCAACATCCCGCACGCCTTTGAGCGGTACGCGCGCTATCTCGACCTTGTCCGCGCTCACCCTGAGGTCCAGCTTGTGCCTGCGCTCGACATTCTCGCAGTCTGGTACGCGCATCTCATCCGAACCGGGCAGTACAAGACGTTCTGCCTCTCGCGCTACCCAAACGTGGGCGAGCGGCGCCGGCTCGTCGACCGCACTGGACCGCTCATCGTCCTGGACACGTACGGCAAGCTCCTCACCAACGACGACGACCACCAAGTCGCTGAGGCGCTCGCTGTGACTGGAAGGCTCTGGATGGAGGCATACGGTGAGCCGTACCAGGTCAACCTCGCCGAGGTATACCCGGCCACGCCACAGCTCTCGCTCACGCCGCCGGTGCAGCTCAGCATGTCTGTCGACGATTTCCTCCACGACCGCGACTGGCTCACCGATCTGCACAGCATGATCAGCGCGGAGCAGCGCGAGCTCCTTGCCTTGCACTCGACGCCGTACCTACGCTCCCTCATCCGGTCGTACGAGCGGTTCCTCTACCTCAACGCTAAGCATTCGACCGGCTACCTCTCTGTTGCGCTCGACGTCGACCTCATCTGGCACGCGCACCAGATCTACCCCGCCAACTACGAGATGGACTGCCTCCGCATGTTTGGCCAGCCAGTTCCGCACATTCCGTGGCCAGAGCACACGCCCGAGGAGGACGCGGCCAACACTGCCCATCTCGAGTCGGTCTGGGCCGAGACCTTTGGCCTCGACTTTGGTGCGCGGCCGACGCTGTCCTGATCCGGAAAGCCTCCACCAAGTGCTCACCAACAACTTGATCACACCAGCTTGTGCAGCAACACCAGCCGCGCAGCCATTTACGCTCAATCTCATACACTCATCACATGACACACCTCGACGGTACCCCCCACTCCGCTCACAGCTCTTTCCCCGTCCGCACCGCCAGGCGACCGGGGCCCTCCACCCCCACGCCCGGAGCCACTCCTCTCGCGACCATGGACACTTACTTTGACCTGGACGCGTTCCGGGCACGGGTGAGCAGCAGCACGGCCGAGGCGCATGCAACGGTGTACGGTGTGGTGTACTCGCCATGTGGTGAGTACATGGCTGCGGTGGACTCGCGGGGAGTGGTGAGGGTGTGGGCCCTGTCTCCTGCTCTCCAAGGCGAGTGGTGGGCCGAGGGTGAGGATGGCTCGCCCGGCGTGCCTCTTGTCACGGCTACTCTTCATCGAGGTCCCATCTACGGTGTCGAGCTGGCAGAGATTGGCAGCAAGGTTGTTCTGGCTACGGGTGCGTCTGATGGTCTCGGTCTCTGGGATTGGGCTGCGTTGCTGGCGAGTGGCGGTGAGGCGACGGCCGTGGCGGCGGCGCAGTTGCTGGCGCTGGATGCGGGCGATGTGGCTGGAACGCCGGTAGAGGTCAACGCTGTGGCGCTGGATCCAGCATCAGGCCTGGTAGTTTGCGGAACGGGTGCCGGCGAAGTGCGGGCGTGGGACGTGGCGACCGGGAGCCACAGCTACACGCTTACCGGCCACACCGACATGGTGCTCGACGTGGGGCTGCGGGGCTCTGGCAGCGCCCCGGTGTCGGCGTCAGAAGACGGGACGGTCAAGCTGTGGGATGCCAAGGCCGGAGGATGCAGCGCGAGCCTGCAGCCCGGCGGTGGGGCGTGGGTTGGCGCGCTTGCGCTCGATCCGGACGCGTCGTGGCTGGCAACCGGCGGCGGTGACTGTGCGGTCTCGCTGTGGCACCTTGCGTCGCTGACGCAGACGACGACGATGGAAACCAAGGCCTGCGTCCAGACCGTGGTCTTTGCCGACGAGCACGTGCTGGCTGGCGGAGCGAGCCCGTGGCTTTACCGCTTTAACATCAACGGGCGGCTGGCGGCCAAGCTGCCTGTGAGTGCGAGCTCGGTGTTTGCGGTCGGGCTCAACGAGGCGAGCCCGCGGAACAGGGTGATTGTGGCCGGCGGCAACACGCCAGTCCTCGACGTGTACACCAACTACTTCCACCGGGCGTTTGGTCTCCCGCTCTCGACCAGCTAGTTGACCTTGATCTTGGAGGCTGGCTTGGACGAGCGGCGCGAGTAGCGGTAGGCGGCAAAGAGGAGGGCGTTGAGAGCGGCGCCGACGGCAACAGTCCAGCGGACCGAAACGCCTTCGTGGACGTGTTGCTCCTCCTGCACCGCATTGCAGTGGTAGTGGGCGGCGTAGCCTACAAACTCGGCGGCCTGGTGAACAAATCGCGCGGCCTTGCCGAGGAGCACGCCCGAGACGAGCGACGCGAGCTCATCGTCGGTGTGGGCCGAGACCCGCGGCGAGGCGGCGGTAAACTCGGCAGCAGCCCAGAGCGAGCGGACGTCGTCATAGGCGGTGCGGAGGGCGTCCATGGCCGGCGAGGCAAAAGCTGGCGCGTTGTACTCGGTAACGGCCACGGACGCGAGATGTGCCAGCGCTGTGTTCATCGACGACCGCGCCGCGAGCAGTGCGGCGACAGCGTTGTTGAACTTGACGAGGCCGGTCTGGTGCCGCGAAATCCGCCACGCGCCATCGCAGGCCGAGAGCGGCGAGGTGCCTGTGGCGTAGAGCCAGTTGTCGAGGGCGCGCCGGGCGCCAGGCGCCGCGGCTGGCGGGAGGCCGCCGACAAGGCGGAGCACGGCGGCAGTGATGGCCTTGGTCGGCGCGCGGAGGTTGACAAGCTTGGACGCGCCGTTGCAGTGCATGTACGACTCCCACTCGGTGTGCGGCGACTGAACGCCGAGGACGACGCCGTCAACGACAGCCACCTGCGACGTGGCGTCGAGGAAGAACGGGTGGGTCGAGTCTGTGGAGAAGAGAACAATGGGGACAACGAGCGAAGCGCCACTGGCCTTGCCACCCGAGGAGCGCGCGGCCGCGTTCGCGGCTGGTGCGGTCTGAGCGAGGAGGGCGGCGAGGGTGGCCGAGTCGATGACTCGGCGAGTCGACGATTCGATGGAGCCTTCGAGGCTCAGGCGCGGGATGCGGACCGTGGTCTGCGAGGCGGCGACCGCAACGGCGAGGCCGGGATCGAGGTCGAGCGAGCGGCGGGCGAGCGAGAAGGCAAAGTGCTGCCACGGCAGGCGGAGGCTCGCCATCTGAGCCTTGAACGAGTTAAAGTCAAAGGCGGTCGGCCCGATGGGGTCGTAGCTTTCGTGCGCGACGACAACGACGACATTAAAGTTGACAACCTTGGCGGCGGCAAAGGCGCCTCCGGCAGCTACAAAGCTTGGGTCAAGCGGCGGCGTGACCACGTGCTTGATACCAGCGTCGAGAACGCCGGCGAGCTTGGTGAGGAAGAGCGAAGCCGCGAGCTGTCCGGAAGACGTCGGCTCGGCGTGGGTGTTGGGGTCGGTGACAAGGATCACGTCCTCGGGCTGCGGGTTGACAACAGCGTCGCGTGCTGCTGGATCTGAAGCTTCTTGGAGGGCGGCGAGGCGGGCGCGGAGCTTGGCGCAGAACGGCGGGAGCGAGATGCGGGGTGTGCCGGGCGGGGTGGCAAAGAGCGACTCGTCGCAAAACTTGGCAAGGAACGATGAGACAGTGTCTGGCTCGGACATGGCCTCGATGGCGGCGTCGGACGGGACGTGGCGGCCACCTGATGCAGCCGAAGCCCCGCCCTGCGACACAGCGTGTTCGGCAGACCAGGCGGTGAGCGCGGCGGCGGTGGTGTCCTCGAGCGACGGCAGCGAGTCGCGAGTCTTGAGCCCGTGGCCGCCGAGGCGCGGGCCCCACTCAAAGGGACCGGCGTGAAGGTCGAGGACGGCAAACGCGGAGGAGGAGACCCAGAGGTCAACAAGGCACTCGGACGTAAAGTCGAGCTCAGTCTCTGCGGCGAGGAGCGACTCGACATACGCCGAGTCCTCGAGCGAGCCTGCGCCGAGGTAGCGGAGGAGGAGGTGGACGAGGTTAGTGCTCGTGTCAGCGCTGGGCGGAAAGATACGCGCGCAGGGGACGGCCGCATCAGCGTCGCACGTGATGATGCGAAGCGGCGAGGTTGGGGCTGGGTTGAGAAGCCCAGACCAGCGCGAGCCCGAGTGGTGCGACGGCGGATGAACGGGAGCGTAGCGCCAGCCGTGGTCGGCCATGTAGGCAGAAATCCACTCCTCAGCGGCGGTGCCGAGATACTCGAAAGAGAGTGGGCCGTCGGAGGCAATATACTGCTGCTGGCGAGAGTAGATGATGGCGTCGGAGAGCGGCGCAGCCGATGCGAGGGCGCGATGAGCGTACGAGACCGGGAAATCGTCGGATGTTGGCAGTGCCCACTCACGAGGACGGTACTCAGAGTCGAGTAAGGCCTCCAACTCGTGACGCGACTCGTCCAGTTGAACGAGCTCGTCCTCGGTGAGGCCACGGGCATAGCCGTAGCGGACAGAGGCAGCTGGGTCGATAAACTCGCCGGGCTTTGCGACGACAAAGGTGAAAGCGTCGTCGAGGCCCATGCCGGCCAGAAAGTCGCCGAGCACGCCCTCAAAGGCCAGCGCGTCGACAGTGACCGTCTGGGCTGGGAGATCCGGCCCATCGTCGCCCCACACAGAGCGCCAGGGATCGGCACCAGGGTCCGGGCCCGGACGAGCCAGTGAGAGGACGAGGGCATCAAAGAAGCGAGCGACCTGCGGCGAGGCCTCGATGAGCCGGAAATGGTACGAGTAGTGCGCGTTCGGCACCACACCATCCGTCGTCCGCATGGCAAGCATGTGCTCGATGTGCTTGAGCCATGGCGCAGCGGCCGCCGCGGCGAGCGATGGTTTGCTCGGCGGAGCAAAGCCTAGCAGGAGCACGTTGACCAAGCGCGGAACAACCAGCGGTGGAATCGGAGGCAGCTCGAGGTCTGGCCGCGGCAGATCAGACGGATTCGGAGGTGTAGGTGACGCTCCAGTCTCTGCCGTCGGCTTGGGACTCGTTCTCCCGCGGTAGCGAAGCGCCGCCGACTCGAGAGACGCCAGCAGTGCGTCCATGTCGGGCGTGGTAGAGCCATGGGTGGGGAGGCTGAGGGCAAGGGCCATGACAACGAGTGCCGCAATGAGGACGAGGAGGAGACGGTGGGGATGCATGTGGGGGGGGGGGAGGCGTAGAGTGGAGTGTGGTTGGATGGTAGTGGTAGGGTCGGGCGCCAGGGAGGCGGCGGGCGCCCGAGTTGGGCACCGTTCAATCTGACTGTGAGGGAATGGGAAGGATCGGGGATCGGGAATCAGAGAGGGAGGGGGGGGGGGGGGGGCTAGTAGTGGGGCTGGTGGTTACGGGTGACTGCTGATCGTTGCAGAATCTAGGCATCGGCGGCAGGCTCGGCTGGCTCGGCTGGCTCGGCTGGCTCGGCAGACTAGGCAGGCGGGACGAGTGAGTAGGCAACCATGGAAAAGTTGTACTCGTCCGGGTTGGGAGCCATAAAGTAGGTCTTGATGGCGGCGGCAGCGGCGGCAGCGACACCGTCGGCAGAGCATCGGGCCAGTGGGATGGGACCAGGCTTACGGCCGTCGAGCTCGTAGAGGATGCCATCGTGGAAGGCAAAGCAGATAAAGTGGGCAGCGATAGAGGCCTCGGACTCGGGCTGAGCTGACTGACCCTGCGAGGCGGTACCGTTGTGGAGCGAGCGAATGCGCTCGTTGGCGGCAAAAGTCTCGCCGCGGACAAGCGGAGTAGCCTCTGCCACCGAGTCGAGGAAGCCCCGAAGGATCGAGTCGTCGGCGAGGTCGAGGGCCGAGACAGTGTTTGCCAGAGCATGAACCATGGCGATGGTCCCGCATGCGTTGCCAAGCTCATCGATCTGGGTCATGTAAAACGGCGGGTCTGCAGGCGCCCCATCATCGCCGTACACCGACTCGGGATCGGGACGGTCGACCTTGTTGAGCCCCGAGGGCCTGCAGAGGAGGACAGCCATGACCGGCTGCGGGAGGAAGGCAAGCATGTCGTCATCGAGGCCCCAGATGTCGGAGAACATGCACTTGCCCTCGGGCACACCCAGATTGGCAGCAAACTGTGTGGTTGAAGGGTGACGTGAGTGGGGGAAGGAGGGGAGGGAGGGGGGGGAGGGGGGGGGGGGAGGAGGGGGGGGGGGCGTACATTGGTGAACACCTCGGGGTTGGACTCGACGGCCTTCCAGCGGTCACGAGCATCGGTGGGGGTAGCGGCGGACATGAGTGTGAGGGGTGTGGGGATGGGTGAGAGGAGTGTGTGAGTAGGTAGGGGTCGTGGGGGCCGTGGGGGCTGGGGAGGTTGCGGTGGTGGTGGGTGGAAGGTCTGTCAGGTTTGGAGCGTGAGCAAGAAAAGAAGATTCGTCACGCTACGTCGCCGTCAAGCAGATGACATCCATACTATGTGTTACTCGATGTACTGTCTTTGTCTGCCAGTCTACGTCACGTACAGCCGATCGATGCGCTGCTTGCTACAGCTGGGTGGGAGCGTGTTAGGCAAGCTGCAGACCAAGGGGATACTCCAGAGTGTAGGCGAGGCTGAGGGCGTGCGGGGCGCCCTGGGCGAGGGAGAGGTTCCACTGGACAAGGCCGGTAGTGGCGTTGACGACGGCGTTGGCGTCCTTCTTGGTCGGGGCCTCGACCTTGAGCTTGATGCGGGTGTCCGAGACGACCGGGATCTGGTCGCGAACGCGGATGTGGACGGGCATGATCTTGAGTGACTGGACGGCGATCTTGGCGGCGAACTTTTCGACGACACGCTTGGACGACGGCGTCTTGTTGTGTGTGTTGAGGGCGTAGTGGACCTGGACTTCGGGGTCGGATCCGACAAAGACCTCGGTGACCTCGCCCGGCGAGAACGAGTCGAGGTGTGTGGCGGTGACAAAGGCATTGTTGAAGTAGACGTTGGCCGGGCCGGCGATGAACGCCGTCTGGGTGGTGTTGGAGAGCTGGACACGGAGGAAGGCGTGCGGCGAGAGCTTGGGGATGCAGTAGTAGATGTTGGCCGAGGCGAGAGCGTCCGGCGGCTTGACCAGGACGCGCTCGCGGGCGCCTGACGCGATGGTCGCCCGAGTCTGAACGTTGAACTGGGCGGCCGGGGCGGCGAGCATGGCGGCGCGGAGCGCGAGGGTGTCCGCGTCGACATCAGGCGTGCCCGAGCCGGAGCCCGAGTCAAAGCCGTCGGACGACGAGTCGGCGCCCGACGGCGAGGCAACGCGCTTGTGGTGGCGCTTGCGGCGGCGGCGGGCGCGCCGGGCGGCAGACGAGGCAGCAGCGCCGTCCGAGCCGTCGGGCGCAGCGGCCGAGTCCGACGCCGACGTCGAAGCCAGCGGCGCTGGCGAGCCGGAGCCATGCGGGCTAGGAGACGAAGAGGCGCCGATGCCGGCCGCGAGATCAACCGGCGACGAGGGGCCGGGTGCGGCGGCGCGGAGCACGTTGGGCGCCATGGCCGGGATGTCGCCCGAGGTCTTCTTGGCAGTGGAGAGGACCAGGGCGACGTCAGCCCACTCCTCGCCAGTGTGCTGCTCGACAATGCCGTGAAAGTGGAGCGGGACGCGGACGCCGCCGGGCGCGGCCATCGTCTGCTGCTGCGGCGAGATGCGGACGTCGTACGACGGCGTCCACCACGCGCGCGAGGTGGCATACGAAAAGTCGAGCGAGACTTGGCCAGTCGAGTGCGAGCCGAGGACGATGGTAAACGTCCGTGTCACGTCGAGTGTCTCCGAGTACTGCGCGTCCATGGCGTCCATGAGCGAGTGGATGCGGCGGTCGACGTCGTCGATCTTGAGCTTGAGCTCGGTCCGCTTGCGGTCGTGCTCCTCCAGACGGCGGTGGTAGAGCTCCAGAAAGGCGTCAAAGGCCTCGAGCGACTCGCGGGTCATGGCGTCGGGTGTGGCCGTCGCGTCGGTCCGGGTGTACTTTTTGGCAAACTGCTCGATGAGCGCGAGCTCCTTCTCCAGGCGCTCGCCAGCCTCAAGGAACTTGTGCCGCAGCGCGTTGAGCTGGTCGAGCTCGTGGCGCTGCTTGTCGACGTTGGGCGACTCGGAGACGCGGAGCTTGGACGACTGCGCGTAGTGGGTCTCGATGATGTGCAGCGGGCAGTTGGTGACCTTGAACGACTTGGGATCCACGTGCGACGCGAGGCCGGTCACCACGATCTCGTGCTTGCCCGACTCGGTGAACGGAACAGAGATGGCACGGCGGACCCGTGCGCGATCAGGGAAGACCGTCACGGCGCGCACCGGACACGCAGAGAGCTCAACCTCGTGCCGGGTCGTCGGGCCTGAGAACGAGCTGTACGTCATCGCCGACGGCTGTGAGTACCCACCGTACCCGCCTCCGTATCCGGATCCGCCGCCGTATCCACCGGTCGAGCTCGGAGATGAGAAGCCCGTGTAGCCCGACGGCGCCGCGCCGCCAAACTGCGGCCGCGGCGAGCCTGCCGCGCCCACGCCGCTGGCTCCTGATCCCGGCCCGTAGCCCTGCCGCGGGGCGACCGCCGGCGCACCGTTCTGGCTCTGGCCCATGCCTCTGGTCTGTGCCCCGCCGCTCACCTGCTGCTGTTGCTGATGCTGTTGCTGATGCTGTTGCTGCCCAGCAGCAGGTTGCTGCTGCTGCTGCGCCGCCTGTGCCTGTGCCGCAGTGTTGGGTGCTGTGCTCCTCTGCTGCTGCAACGAGTTCTGACTCGTACCAGCGTTTGTCACAGCACCCTGTTGCGAGACTGAGACTGTAGATCCGCCGACTGAAGCAGATAGTGGGAGAGACGAAGCAGGAGGCGCGCCACAAAATTAGTGTTGTCGTGAGGGGGAGGGGGGAGGGGAGCCGGGAGGGGGGAGGGGCGGGCAAAGGAAAAGGAAAAGGGGCACGGGGGGGGGGGGGGAGTGAGTGGATGAGGTTGAAGGTGGTGGTGGTAGGGGTGGTGGTTGCTGTAGTGGGTGGAGGGTGGAGGTGGTGGGGGTGGGGGGGGTTGGCCCAACTGACGACAGTTTGCCAGTGCTCGGGTGGCCATGGGGGTAGGGGTGGGTGGTGAAGAAGGGGGAGGGAGGGAGGGAGGGAGGGAGGGAGTGATGAATACGTACCCGGTGTGCCACCGACAGGGGTCCCGCCAATAGGGGTGCCTCCAATAGGGGTGCCTCCAATGTATGACATCCACGTGAGGGTGTGAGACGGGTGTGATGCTTGCAGGGGTGTGGAGGGCGGCTGTGGGCGGAGAGGGGAGAAGGGGCGAGGAAAGGCGGGAGAGCAGAGCGATGAAGAGGAAAAGTGAGTGAAAGGGGTGTAAAGTAGTCAAGTTAAGCGTAGGCTACGAGGATGGTGTAATGATGGTGTAGATAGAGGAAGCGAGGGGAAAGAGTGGACCGGGAGGGGGGGGGGGACGAGAGCCAGCAGGAACTTGTCATTGATGGTTGCTGTACGATTAACGTTGGTCGGTTGCAGGTCGGTCGGTTGGTCAGTCGGTTGGCCGGTCGGTTGGCGCCATGCGATCAACCTGCCTGGTTTTGGACATGGCTCGACCAAGGATGGCCGGGAGAGAGACGGGTGCAAGTAGTGGAGGGAGCGATGGTCACTATCATACTCATGGCCGTTGCTCAAGATGACAAAGACCACCTTTCTCTAGTTGTATCTTGTACCTGGTTGGCCTCTTCATGCCGGCCACCGCGACGGGGACGCTGCCAGGCAGCAGGCGACGAGGCGGCGGCGGTGGCGGCAAGTCGGAGGGAGTACAAAGACGAGGGCAGACGCAAGGAAGTGAGCTCCCGTTGCCACCTATGCTTGATGGGCCAGTGGCAGGGAAGCTGTCGTCGACATGGGTGGCGGCAAGGGTCGAGGACTCGCTGCGGAATGCGGAGCGGGTGACCGAGGCGGCGGCGGGCGCGCGGCGAAGAGCAGGCCAGCTGCCAAACAACACATCCGCCAGCGGGCCGGACAGGGAGCGGAGACAATGGCGCCGGAAGAGAAGAAGGAGAAGAAGGAGTGGAGATGACGAGCAGGGTGCTCGGGCGGCGGGGATCGGGGGCATGCTGGTGCCGATCGCGCCGATGCTGAGTCCTGAAGCCGAGGCCGCGACGCGGGCGCTGACCAACAAGGCTGAGCTGGAAGCCGCACGGGTCAATCTGGAAATGCATCTGCATCCCAAGGCGTATGCGACGCGGGCACTGGAGCGGATGATGCAGAAAAGCAGCTCCAGGGTGGAGCGACGGCCCGAACTTGGAGTGGCGCCGTCTCCGCTGCCACCACTCATCAGATGCACGCCGGCGGCAGCGCGGGTGGTCCGTGGCCTGCCCCCGCTGCCAGCATCGGCGGGAAATGGGCGCGAGGCTCGAGCCAAGGCCTTTGCAGAAAAGAGTCGGCAATGGCGGCCTGACGGCCTGACGCTCCCGCCGACCCCGCACTCGCTGCCGCCGCTGATGGTGGCCATCCGCCTGCCACGTCGCGGCGGCGCGAGTCCGCCGTCACCGTCGGCGCGGCCGAAGCGGCGCTCGCAGCACAAAGCTCACCATCCAAATCAGATGGGAGCCCCTCGGGGAACATGCTGCTGTCGGATGCGACGGCCGCAGCTCACGCCCGCGCTCGCCGGTGGCCTGGGCGTGGTGATCGGCGCGGCCGCTGTCGGCGCAGCCGCCCTCGTTGTGTATCTGTTTGTTTAGAGCTCACACAGCGATCAGATAAAGACGCCTCCGTAGTCCTCAAGCAGGCGAGCCTCCTGCGAGTCCTTGAGCGCGTCGGCAGTGAGAGCGAGCGCGGCGTCTTTGTCGAGCGAGCCACAGAGGGCGACAAAGGCTGCGTACACGGCAAGCCGCTGTCCCGACAGGCCGTGGCGCGGACCGCGCGACGGGGCCAACTCCAGCTCGTCCTTGGGCTCCATGACCAGCGCACCTTCATCATCATTATCATCGACCAGCTCTTCCAGCTCCAGCCGCCTCCCTCCGGCTGTCTCTTCACCCCGAATGGCTCCGCCAAGCCTCCGAGCCGACGGACTCGCAGTTGCCGCCGCCCCAGCCCGTGCCCTCCCGCCGCCTGTTCCCCTCCGGCTCGTGCTCCGACGGCCTGACGACCGCGGTCGACTTGGAATACGCCCTGGTGTTGCAGTGGTTAGCCGTGGCATGGCAAGTGGAGTGTGGGGGAGAGGAGAGGGGGGCGAGGGGGGAGGGGGGCGAAGACGCAGGCGTTTGATCGGCAGCCTTGATCAAGCACCGCTTGATCAAGCGGTGTTTGATCAAGGGCGATGACGAGGTGGAAGCCAGCCAAAAGCAGCTCACACATACTCGTGGCGGTACAGAGACGACGACGGCTAGACTCATCTCTTATCAACTCTCAACAGGAAATGACATTGTGGCAGAGAGCGGGCGCAGTGGTGGGCGCGATGGCGGTAGTGGGCGGGTCTATGGCGGCGGCAGCCTGGGCTGTCCGTAGAGTCCGGTTGAGCGCGTGGCGTGGTGAAGCGGCTGTGACCGACGAGCGTGGTCAGTATCTGCTGTCGGTGCCAGAGATCGCTGGTGCTGTGGCTGAGGCGGTGACGGATGTCGATAGCGCTGATGATGCCTCCAAGCTGCGGGCGCGGAGGCTGTCGGGCGGCATGTCGAACTTTCTCTTTGTCCTCCTCGAGGCCTCGGACGGCTCTGTCGTCGGCCTGATGCGAGTGTACGGCGCTGGCGCCGACGCCACGGTCGTCCGCGCCGACGAGGGTGCCGTCTTTGGTGCGCTCTCAGACGCCGGCCTTGGCCCGGCGCTGTTAAGCGAGTGGGCCGGCGGGCGGATCGAAGCCTTTGTCGCCGGCACGCCCGTGGAGTCGCGGACGCTCGGCCGGCCCGAGTCGGCGAGCCTTCTCCGCGAGATCCTCGCCAAGGTGGCGGCGATGCACAAGCTGGTCATTCCCAGCGGGCTCAGCTCATCGTCACTTGCAGGCGTCGAGAACTCGATGCTCTTCCACCAACTCGGCAGCTGGCTCGGGCAGCTGGAGGAGGCAGCGCAGGAGGGGCGCAAGGTCAACGAGCAGCGGCGGCTGCTGCTGACGCTGCCAGACATGCCTGTTTCGATCGAGCTGCGAGCGCTGCGCGACCACGTCGAGTGGCTCGAGGCCAAGTGGCGGGCCATGGACGGCGTTCGCATGGGCCTCTGCCACAACGACCTGCACGGCGGCAACATCATGGCAACCGCCGACGACGAGGTTGTCCTCATCGACGTCGAGTACGCTGGGTACTCGATGGTCGGTGTCGACCTTGGCAACATGGCGTGCGAGATGATGCACTCGTACGAATGCGAGAACCACCCGGGCTTTGTCGTCCGGGCCGACGAGTTTCCATCGCCCGAGACCCGCGCCGCCATGGTGGCGTGCTACCTTGACGCTGCCGGCGAGAGCAGCAACGATGCCGCCGTCGCTGCTCTCATGGCGCAGGTCGATCTCGGCATCCTCTCCTCGCACCTCATGTGGGCGCTGTGGTCGTTTATCCAGGCGCGGACGTCGGACATTGCCTACGGCTACACCGCGTACGGCCTGCAGCGGCTCGACCAGTTTGTCCACGGCCGCAAGGCCAGCACAGCCGCCGACGCGGCAGCCAAGGCCGCGCTCGCGAGCGAGGCCGACAGCGAGTAAAAGGCGAGGCCCGGCTGCAACAGAGCTACGGCTTGGTCGGGATGACGATGGAGAGCTTGCGCTTGCCGCCGGGCTTGCGGAGACCGGCAGCAGGCGCGAGTGGCGGCGGCGCCGCAGACCGCGTGTCTCGTGCAGCCATGACGTCTTGGTCCTCAAGGGCGGTGAGGGTGGCAGTCCACTCGGCAATGCGGAGCGCCATCTTGTCCTCGAGCGACTCCTCGGCGAGAGGCTCCGACGGCACGGCTTCAGGATCGTCGACCGCCACAAACATGTCCTCGAGCGGCGGCGCCGCCGGATCGATGGGTGTGGCCGGGAGCGTCGGAAGCGGACCGGCAAAGGCAGGCTGACCGGCGCTCACCGCGCCGACAGGCGTGGGCTGGCTCTCGGGAAATACAGCATCCATGATAGCAGCAAGGTTGCGGTGGCCAGGAGTAAAGACTTGCGAGGTCGGCGAGAGGACATCGTTGTCGATGACTGCATTGTAGTGGCCATTCGACTTGCACAGCAGAATGACCGGCTGGTGGCCCTCGTTGTAGACCTGCAGCGAGGTGGTGGTGTACGCATCATACACAACGACCGTCACCCGAAAGTGGTGCGCAAGCGCAGAGAGCTCAGGCTCGCCGCCCCACGTTTTGAGCTTGCTCATCTGGTCGAGGTACTCTTCAAACGACGAGTCAACCTCGGCCTCACAAAACGGCGCAAAGAGCTCCGAGTGCTTCCGCATGTGGTCGCAGGCGATGGCCCTCAGCTCGGCGTGCTTGCCCTGACCCCAGCCCGGAAGCTGGAAGCCAAACGAGCGAAAGAGGCAGTTGCCATCCATAGCGATGCGATACACGGTGAGGCCGTGCGCCTCGAATCGCGATGTGATGTCTTTGGCCACGGTGACCCGCGGCGTCGGCGCCGCCGGCCCACCCACGTCCGACGACGGCAGCCACTTGGCCCGCGCCTCGGGCGCCTTGGTCCGGTATGTTTTGGGCCGCGGGTCAAAGTTTGCCGTTTGCCGCGACGTCTCGCCGAACCGCGCATACACTGCCGACGCCGATGCGCCCGATGCCCCACTCTTGCCCGTGTACGAGCTCGCCGAGTCGTAGTACCCGCCGAGAGTTGTCGCCCCCCGCCCGCCCACACCCACGTGCCCTCCCACGAGTCCTCCCGCAGGTCCTTGCCGACCCGAGCTCCTGCCGCCACCCGCCATGCGTCCCGCTCCATACCCGTAGCCACCGTACCCGTACATAGTAAACACGGGTGGGTAATACTCGGTGTGAGGTGAGGTTGCGATTGGTGGGGGCGAGGGCAGGTGGGTGATCACGATCGCGATCATGATCAGGTTCGAGATCGGGATCAAGGACGTAGCCAGTCTCCATCATGAGCCCATCACCCTCTGACAGTGATCAAACAGAGACGATTGAAGCAAATATAAAGCCTGGACTCGAGCGATGGTATGCAAGCCAGAGATCAGAGGCCCTGGAGGAGCGGGGGAGGGAGGGGAGGGAGGAGGGAAGGGAGAGGGGGGCGGCCGGCCATCCCGGAGAGGCCAACACCAGCAAGAACTAGAGGCGATTTTTTTTCCCCCTCTGAACGATGAGGGGGAACAGGGAAAGGAGGAAGGGGGGAAGGGGGGGGGTGGAGAAGGAAGGGTACACTCGTCGCACCAAGCTGAATAAGAGAGAGAGAGAGAGAAAAGCTAGGGCAAGGGTGACCAAGGTTATGTCGAGCATGAGCGCAGTGGCGTCGGCAGGGCAGGAGACAAAGAGCATGGTGGGTGGGGGACGAGGAGGTGGAGGTAGGGAAGGGGGTATGGCCAACGGAGGGACGTCGCTGGCGGACGCCCTGTCGCTTATTGCAGCGAACCAGTACGACACCGAGGCGTGGACCAAGCTGCTAGCCGCCATCCAGCACCTTTCTGTTGACGACGCCCGCGAGCACTACGAGGCGTTCCTCAAGGTCTTCCCCACCGCTGGCCTGCAATGGATGCTGTACGCCAAACATGAGGTTCGTGGCGGCGAACCGCTGCGGGCCGAGGCTATCTACGAGCGCGCTCTGCCGAACGTCCTGCACATGGACCTCTGGCTCTCGTACCTCGAGTACGTGGAGGCGTCTGTGCCGGCGGCGGCGGCGGCGGCGGTGGCCGGGGGCGACGGCGAGGGCGCCGCGAACGAGGAGAGCAGCAAGGCGGCGGCGGCGGCGGCGGCGGCGACGGCGCGGGAAAAGGTTGTGGAGGCGTACGAGTTTGCAGTGGAGCACATGGGCTTCCACATTGCGGCGTCGGCCATCTGGACCAAGTACATTGCCTTTCTCAAGGCGACGCCGGCGATGGACGCAGGGCAGGTTGCCCGGCGGAACGAGGCTGTGCGCAAGGCATACCACCGGGCCATTGTCTCGCCCTCGCTCGGCATCGAGGCACTGTGGCAGGGCTACTCGACTTTTGAGAATGCGCTCAACGTGCAGCTGGCGGCGGCGATTCTCAACCAGCATGCGCGGTCGTACATGGCGGCGCGGTCTGCGCTCGCCGGCATGCGCAACGCCATGTCGGGCATTGCCACGTCAGGCCTCCCGCTGCCGCCGTCGACCTCGCCCAAGGCCATCAACCTGGTGGCGGCGTACCGGCGGTGGGTGGCGTTCGAGTGCGAGAACCCGCTCTCGCTCGACGAAGCCATGCTCCAGCGCCGGGTGGCGTTTGCCTATAACCAGGCGCTTCTCGACCTCTACTACTACTCGGAGCTCTGGTTCGAGGCGCATGTCTACTTTCGCAACGCCGGCGACGAGGGCCTCGCCACGGCCTTTCTTCAGCGCGGCACGCTGGCGCAGCCGGGCAACCAGCTGCTGGCGTACGCGTACGCGGCGCATTGCCAGTCGCTCGGAACCGAGGCGGCCCACGCCGCGGCGCGCGACTGCTACGAGGCGCTGCTGAAGGCTACCGACGCGCCGCTGGCGTACATCCAGTACATGCGCTTTGCCTGGCGCTGCCTCTCGGAGCGTGCAGCGCGGCAGATTTTCAAGCGCGCCCGCGCTTCGCCGTCCTGCACCTACCACGTCTACATTGCCGCCGCGCTTTCTGAGTTCCACTTTACCAAGGACCTCGGCATTGCTGTCCGCATCTTTGAGGCCGGCATGGAAAAGTACGGGACCGAACCCGAGTACGTGCTCGCGTACCTCGACCACCTCACGCATCTCAATGACGAGTCTGCGGCACGCTCGGTTTTCGAGCGGTCGCTGGCGGCGATTCCGTCCGCCAAGGCGAAGCAGGTCTGGGGCGCGTATGTCCAGTTTGAGTCGATGCGCGGCGACGTGGGCGCCGTCAACGCACTCCTCGCCCGCCGCGCCGCAGCCGCAGCCGCCGCAGCAGACACGGTCACCGACGCCGAACTTGACGTCCACGAGCCGGACTCGCTCCTCGAGCAGGCCGCGCGGTTCCGGTTCATGGACCTCTACCCGCTCTCGGCGGCGCAGACGAGCGTCGTCGCCGCCAACGAGGCCGCCAAGGCCGCCGCGTCCAAGGCTGCCGCGTCGCGCTCACGGACGAGGTCACGGGCCGGACGGACCGCCAACCCGGAGCTTGCGCTTGAGCGATCCAAGCCCAAGCCGCTGACCGGGACCATGGCTCCGTTCTCGCCGGCCGGCGCCGACACCTCCAAGATGCCGGTCTGGCTCCAGGAGCTCACCCTCCTCCTCCCGCTGCCGACCAACTTTACTGCGCCGCTCGTCAACGTCCCGTTCCTCGTCAAGACGCTCACCGGCCTTGACGCCGTGCCCAAGGCCGGGCCCAACGCGGCTGTGATCCCGGGCCGGTCAGCCTCGGGCGCCTCGGCCGGCGCCGCAGCCGTCGTCGCAGCTGCCAAGAAGCGCAAGCGCGCGGCCGGTACCGTCGGTGCTCCGGCTGTCGAGTCGGCCACCCACTCGGATGTCTTCCGTGCCCGCCAGCTGAAGAAGCTCAAGAAGTAAGCAAGCTAGCAGATGATCTGTTTCGTAAAACGGATACTCGAAGAGAGTGAGCCCCCACCCCATCTGGGGGGGGGGGGGAGAGAGAGAGAGCGAAGACCGGGGCAGTCCAGTCGCTCAGCACAGTGCCTGCTGCGACCGGCGATTACTCTGTGACGTGCGCAGACTTTGACGGGGACGGGTTTGTCGACGTGGCCACGGCGTACGACAACATCCACGTTCGACGCAATGACCTTGAAAAACAGCGACGCCAGCCCGCCTTGCCGCTGCTTGTCGAGTCGGGCCCACGGGTCGCGACACCGGCTGCCGTCGTGCTCTTCCCCTTCCGAGTCGGCCGCCGCGGCAACCGCGAGCGCAGAGCAGGTGGCAATGACCTCGGCTTCTCGCCCACGCAAGAGCGAGACAAGAGCCACGGCTTCGTTGAGGCTAATGTCGGCGACGCAGTACCCGGTGATGAGGGAGAAGACGGCAGCAAACGCGATGTCAACCACCTGCTCGACCGAGAGTGTGGCGGCAGCATCGCGCAGAGCCACTGCAGTCGTCCACATGGAACGCTGTGCCGCCAACACCAGCTCGTCAGCACACGCCGCAGGTCCTGCCTCGACAGCAGCGACAACCCTGTTCATCTGCCACGCTGACAGGCGCTCGGGAACGACATGCTCTGGCAGGGGCGGGGAGAGGATTTTGGCGAGCTCGGCGGGAGAAAAGCCTGCGGCCGAGGCGGTGGTAAGAGCGAGGCCGACGTTTGCGCCGCCAGCGCTGACCGCAGCTTGGAGGAACGAGACGTACACGGGGCGGTAGACGTCGAGGAAGCCAGGGAGGCCGACGAGGTGCGGAGCGACGGCAAACGACGTACGGGGCTGGCCGTTGTTCAGCGACCGGACCATCGCCATGCCCATCCGCAGCATCGCGCGCTCGCTGCCCGCGGTCGACGCCACCGCAGCTGCGACGTCGACGCCACTCGCAAGCACTGCGTCGATGAGTGCCACCGAGTCGGCAGTGATGGCGTCCAGGAGCACGGTGACCACCATGTCGGGGGTGACCCCGTCGGTGCGGGCCAGCAGGCGCTGCAACGCGGCGGCTTGGCCAAAGGAAGTGGCCGCCTGGACAGCTGCCGGGACATGCTCCGTGGCGACAACAATGTCGCGGCGGAGTTCGAGGAGGAGGCTGACCAGCCACGCGGTTCTGGGCAAGGTTGCGCGTGAGCGCACGATGAGGCCATCAAAGGCAGCCTGTGCGGCGCGCAGCGAGACGTGCGGGATGATGCGCATGAGCGTAAGCTGGCCTCCGCCAAAGCCGGTACGCTGGCCTCCGCCAAAGCCGCCAAAGCCGGTACGCTGGCCTCCGCCAAAGCCGGTACGCTGACCTCTGCCAAAGCCGGTCGCAACGTGCGAGCGATCGTCGTCCATGATGGTTGCGAAGACGGCGTCAGCGACGGCCGGGTCGGCGAGGTCGACCGAGCGGAGGAGCGAGGACGGGAACGGCGGGTCGGCGGTGACAAACGCGGTCGACCAGGCTGGCGTGAGCGGGGTGAGACGCTCGGCCACAGCAGCAAAGACGGCGGCGTCGAGGAGAGAGTCGGGGTCGAGGATAGCGAGGGCCGACCACAACGCAAGCTCGCACGCCTCAGCGTTGTTTGCAAGGTGGTCGTCAAGGCCGAGGTCAAGGACGGCAAGGACGGTGTCGAGTGGAGCCGACGTGATGATGTCCGGAAGAAAGTCGAGCGAGATGGAGGAAAGTGCCGACGGGTCGGAGAGGTGGGCGAGCTGGTCGGTGGGCGTGTCAGCAGTGTTGTCGGCAGGGTTGTCGGGCGCGGAAGGATGCCAGTCCTCGGACTCGTCGTCCGCCTTGCGCCGTCCGCGCCGCACCAGCCCGGCAGGGACGATCCGCAGCTCAATCGTGCGTGTGGCGTGAAGGCGGCGGACGAGATCGCGGATCGGGGCGGCCAGGTTGGCGTCGTCGGCAAACTCGATGATGGGTGGCTCACCTCCTTCGATGGTGCGCAGCTCGGCGAGCCGCCCTCCAACGCCTTCGGCAAGCTCGATGGTCACCAGAGAGATGAGCTCGGCCGGGGCGATCGGCGATGTCGGCGAGGATGGCGACGTAGTCGTCCGTGCAGCCGTCCGTGAGCGTACCCGCAGCAAAGTCGGGCACGTAAAGCTCGGCGAGGGCAGCAAAGGCGTCCGGAGCGTGTTGGCGGATGGCGCCCAAAGCGTCGTGTCCGCACGAGGACGTGAGGAGCGAGATCGCGCGAGGGATCGTCCGGCGTGCGGCGACAATCCACCTGTTCTTAAACGCGACGAGGGCAGCGGCGTCGACGACGTCCGGCGGAAGCGTGGGGATGACTGTGGGGGTGCATGCGGTGAGCGAACGAGCGGCGAGGGCGTAGAGGGGGTCGTTAGACCCGCCGGTGTTTGTGTTGTCGGCGACCAGCCAGCGGAGAGAGCGGGTGGTGAGCGCGAGGGCGAGGATCGACGAAGGTGGGAGGTAACCGCGGCGGACCATCGTCTGCAGGACCTCCCCCGGAACGTCGGTGAGCGTGAGGGCGGACATGGTCAAAACGCACAGGGTGTGGATGCGGTGCGGAGACGAGTGCCCAAGCCGCTGCGGTTTGCAGTGGTCGTTCTTCGTACTCGGCCCGGGAGAGGAAGCAGAGAAAGCGTGAGGGACGCGAAGCCGACGGTCATGATCCAGCACTCTACATCGGCCTGGAGCCTACCGAGCCGTTTGCATTTCTGCATGTCCTGTTCGAGGCCCACTTTGTTCAGCAGGGTAACGCTGCTGACATCCACACACTCGCCCGCGGGGTACATTGAGCAGGTTGACGCCATCGAAACCGCCCTCGCCCCTGCCTCTGCATCTGCATCGACTGCGGCGTCGAGAACGCGTGATTTCCTGTGATTTCCCTGTTTCGTCGGCATTGGCCAACGGCGCCAACCGCCTCCGCGCCAAGCTCTGCGGCTACCACAACCGGCATGGCGCATTGCTGACTGATGCTGGTTACGGCAAAACTCCTCCGAGGTGACCGCCTGGCCATCCGCCGCCTCGAAGCGATCCACGACGCTCGTCTCGACCCTTCCCATCTCGGCGGCGTCGTCCACAAGCTCGCGCACACGTACGAGAAACACGCTGGGCGGCTGGCCCGAATTGTCGATGACAATGCTCACTTGCCGTCAATCAGCGCAAGCGACGCCGCTGTGGAGGCGACGAAGGCGTGGTACGCCGCTTTCTCGCTCATCCCGTCCAAGATCGACCTGGCCGCGTTTGATGACATGTCGAGGAGGAAGGGCGGTGGGGTGGAGAGGAAGGGGAAGCTCGTGCGTGCGGTACTTTGTCATGGCAGAACCGTCTTGAACCACTGCCCCGCCTGCCACCCTTCACGCGAGCGGGTGGGTGTCTGGGCGTCGTACAGGGACGGAGAAAACACAAATACAGGCAGGTTCTTCTCTATGGCAAAAAGCTTCAACATGTCGTCACAAGAGCAGCACGGCGTCTTCGAAATCCACATGGCCAGCACCGTCGGCTCCAACACTGCCTCGGCGAGAATGACGAGCAGTTGCATCTCCGCATGCGGACGCTTCGATTTCCACTTTGCCCTGCGCGCCTTGTGCGACTTGCCCTTGAGCTCGGGAACCCCCTTCCAACCAGTGCAAGTTCTCAGACTTTGGAAGGACGACCTGAACCGCTTTGCCTCGGGGCCGTGGACGACGTTCGGCAAGAACAGGTGGCAAACACCATCCACAACGCGCAAGCAGTAGTTGGTTTCGCATGTGGGGGAACACGAACACGGTTTCGATCCCGAGAAGAACAGCACTTTGCTGACTTCGATATCGTCCTTCTTCATTGTGCCCTGGGCCAACTCCCCAATATCATAGTACATGGCAACTTTTTGCCGAAACACATTGCTGGACGTGGGGTCGAGGACGCTCAAGTCAACAGCATACACATCTTTCTCCCCCCAGGTGACAGGGAACCCACTGTCGCCATGATCATCGCAATGTTCCCAGCCGAAAACACCGGTAGCCGCCATTCCAACGAGTGACGTGTGAGCACTGAGGTCTGAGAAGTCTGAGCACTGTGAGCAGGTCGAATGCCCAGGCACTGTTTGAGTCAATTTTGGGCTTGTTCGGACTCCAACAGCTCCAGCCGGAAACCCGAAGCCGTGCTTGTCCGACTCCGCCACTTTCATCCGCCCACACAGTCTTTGTCAGACACGTCTCAATGTCGTCAATGCGAAGCGAGTTGGCGGATGCGTGGAACGAGTGGGTACAAGCGAACCACCCGGAAGACAACGCGTCGGACTGGGTTGCAACGGTGTCCGAACAGTTTTCCGAGTCGACGCTGAGCGCGGCGGAGGCGGAGCGGACCGACCCGGAAACGTGGGACTATGTTTGGAGGACTGTGTTTGCAAGCACGCCCGTTCTGGTGCCCAAGGTCGAGTTGCGGGTGCGTGACTTTCTCGACGGGCTGGTGGCGCGGCCGGCCTCCCGGTCGCTGCCGGAGCCGGACCAGGCGCTGTTTTCGATCGCCCACGGTGTGGTCAAGGTTAGCCACAGGGTCGTGCCGGCCGCTGCTGGTGCTGCTTTTGGGCGGCCGACCATTGCTTCGCTGCTGGACGAGCTCAGCAACACACCCGACGAAGTCCTCAACGACGTACTCGGCGTGTCGTTTGCGGGATGTGTGATCGGCGATGCCGATGTGTGTGCGTTTGCGAAGGGGGCGCTCGGGTCAAATGGCGGCGTGACGCTGTTCCCGGCGCTGGTCGAAGTGGACCTGCGCAACACGCGTGTGCATGGCTATGAGCTCGTCATCGGCGCACAGCTGAAGAGCATTGTGCTCGAGCTGCTGTGCAAGGGTATCCGCGTCGTGGTCGCTCTCACGCCCTTTGCGTCATCCGACTCGAAGATGTTCTTCACCGACACGACGGCACTGACCAACGACCTACTCGCCTTGCTCATTTTTGTGCCGCAGCAGTGGCTCAAGGCCGGGCACTGGAAGGCGCTGTTTCCCGACGACAATCAGTCTCGCATCGCCATTGTCGAACTTGCGCACCGCTCGTACTACCTCGATGTTGTGCCTGGGCCGGTCATTGGTCCCCCCGTCGCCTTCAACTGTCCTGCCTTTCCCATGGCCGCACGTGGGGACGGGCTCAAGTTTGTTGTTGCCTTTGTTGGCTGCAGCCCTGCTCTCCGCCCCGCGTTTAGCCGTGCGCACAGCGTCGAGTCGTGCGCGGTGCTCAGCGTTGACTGCTCCATCTCAGTTGGACCTGCGTTCTACTCGACGACCGGCGCCACCGCCATCGTATTCTTTGAAGGTGTGACCAACCCGCTTGTGGCCGCGGCCACGCTGGCCTTCGCCATCACTCACTCGGAGCTTGTTTTCGGGACTGGGGAGGTCGCGTTTGCCTTTTACGACGTCCGCCGCGCACGCCGCGCGAGCGCTGCGTCGGACGAATCGGCTGACGGCGCCGCCTCGTCATCGTCCGCCTCAAACTGATCTGATCAACAACACGCGCCCTGCATTCACTGCATCCGAGTGTGTCGGAGAGTTGGTCGAGGCCGGCGTACAGTTGGTGGAGACCCGCAGCAGTCCTGCTTGTCAGTATTGAGGGCCTTGCCGGTGTCTGACAGCGGGCCGCGGTCTTTGGTTCTGTCTCTTGGAACACCGGTCCACTAGCCGACCCAAAAAGCTCTGTCGCCTTTACTCTCTCGTCGCAAACACGATGACGTCCCCATCGTCCGTCCGTGCGTAAGCGGCCCCGTCTTCCTCGCCGAATATTGCGTCGGCTCGCACTTCGGACGCGAGCCCCCAGCCGAGGACGCGCTCGCCCCACACGCCGGCGCGCGCCGCCACCACGCCCGCGGCGATCGGAAAGTGGGCGCGGAACGCCGCGTCGTCTCCCGCCACAGCACCCAGCTCATCGGTCGTGCACATGGGCTCGTAGCAGTCGGGGGTGGGCGACCAGAAGCCGGTGAACGACGGGAGCGACGCCCACACGATCTCGTCGGCAGCCAGCCACAGGCCCAGCGCCCGAGCTGCTTCGGAGTTTGGGCTCGGACTCGTTCCCACGGGCAGCGGCGCCGCAATGCCCAGGGCGGTCTCGGCCTCGGCGCGCTCAGTCTGAAGTCGGGCAAGCATGGTGTGAGAACACGGCCTCCATCCTCCCCTTACTCTCGTCCTTCCGAGGCGCTCGGGACGGCCCCCGGTCTGGTGACGGCCAGCTCGACCGACATACCGCCCCATCCACCGCCAAAGTGAATTCGCTCAGGCGTCCCAAGTTGGGTGGAGGCGGGAGTGTGAGGGGCGGCGACTGAGGGCCGCGGTTGCGGCTGCGGGTGTCGAAGGGCACGGCGAGGTTGTGCGTGTGGTGCTGACCAAGCTGGTGGAGTTGGACTTGGATGCGGACGAGTTGCGCGAAGTGGTTCAGGAGCTGATGGACTACGAGCACGGTTGGTCGCCGGAGAGCTCGGTGCTTTCTTCCTCCAAGCCCACGCTCTGCTGCTCACAGCGTCGTTTGTGAAGCGCGGTGTGTCGTGGGTGCGGGTGAGGAGGGTGGTGGTGGCGTGGTGGTCGTACATCTCTGCGCGCATGTCGTTGTGGCTGTGGGCGGGAGTGGGAGCAGGAGTGGCCGTGTTGGTGTGCTGGGTTGCGAGGCTCCTGGTAGTCTGACGCGGATGGGGTGGCGAGGAGGGGAGCGAAAGCTACGAGGACGTACCAACGTCTGAAGCTTTGATGAGAGTTTGATGATGAAGAGAAGGACGACGAGCGGTGCTACGAGGAGGCGCCGAAGATGCCGTCCGAGATGCCGGTGACATGGCAAAAGGTGGCGCGCGCGTCGTGGAGGTCCGGGAGGTCGAGGGCGAGGGCGGCGGGCGACGCGGGTGTGGCTCCGGTGTAGTGGCAGAAGACGTCGACGGTCCGCGAACGCGCACCCTTGCCCGTGATGCCCAGCTTGAGCTTGGCCGAGGGGACACGGCCGGGGCCGACCCACTCGCTCCCGCCGGCCAGGACGTCGAGGATAGCCCGGGCCCCGCTGTCGAGCCCGGAGATGCGGGCCTCGTCGGCGTGGTTGGTCTCCCACTCGTCGGCGGCGGTGAGGACGAGGAGGTCGGCCGACGTGTGGAGGTGGGGCGGGATCATCGACGCCACCGTGAACATCGCGGCGGGGGCGAGGACGACGATGCGCCACACGTGCGACGGCGCTCCGGTGAGCGCCTTGATCCGTGCCTGCGGCGAGGCAGCGGCGAGGGCGGGGGGAAGACGTGGACGAGCGACGACGCTCCCGGTGCATCCACGCCAGCTCCGACAAAGCACGGGCCAAAGACGGCGGAAAAGTAGACGACGAGGGAGGCGCAGAGGGCGTCGGCCTCGTCCGGCCCAGCCACGAGCACGGTCGGCGCGCCCGCAAAGGCGTCGGCCAGGTTGGCAACCTTGGCTGCGACGGCGGCGGCAAAGAGGGGAGCAGCAATGGGGAGGCGCTCTGCGGCGACGTCGTTGAGCGGCGGGACGAGGCGGAAGACGTCCGACGGGGACTGGTCCAAACGTAAACCCGCCGGGGTAGTGGCGCCGCAGGTGCGGGTTGGTCAGCCACTCGGTCAGAACAGACGGCAGGTCCTTCGACCTCTTCTTCTTCTGCCACAGCAGCGGGGCGAGGTCGTCGTACTTTTCGCGGATGGTGTTCTCCAGAGTCTCGGCCGTGTGAATGTCCGTCACCGCCTCGCCGACCCCGGTCACCAGATCGCCGACGCACACGTAGACCGTGGCCTTGCCCGACCCGCACGACACCACGCGCGAGTTGAGCGTCTCGGCGGCGACGACAGGAAAGTTGACGGTGGGGTCCACAAAGGCGTGCGTCAGCCGCGCACAGACGGGGTCCCGGTCCAGGAGGCGGGCAAAGAGCTCGTCCCGCTGCTCGGCCGGCCACGCCCGGAGCTCGGCAGCCATCCCGTCCATGGTCGCGGAGCCCTTGCGGGGGAGGAAGATGCCGCGAAGGAGCCACTCCATGGTCATCGGGGCCGGTTCTGCCTCCCGCCCGCGCACAAGCCGCCGCAGGATCGCCTCGCCGCTGGCAGCCGCAACCCACGCCTGGGCAGCTGCAGCGAGCGGCTCGAGGCACGCCGGCAGGTCCGTCACAAACGCAATAAACGGCGAGACGAGGTGGTCGTTCAGCGCGACTGGGCCCTCAACAGTCCGTCCGGCCAGGTAGTGGCGGGACAGCAGCTCCCTGATCACAGCAAATGCCCGCTCGCCATCCTCCTCATCGAGCGTGAGCTCCAGCTCGCCGTCCGGAAGCCAGTCGCCCACGACCCGAACGATCTGCCCCTGTCCCGCCCCGGTCGTCTTGGCCTTCTTCGGCGCACGGCCATCATCGTCCACCGTGTCGTCGCGCCCCCGCTTGGGACGGTTGGTCTCGTCACTCACTTCTGTGGAAGCAGACATGATGATCTGTGGAGAAACGAGCCCAACACTTCCCCTTACATGCTCCTTCATCAGCATGGTACCACACACAACCATGCCAACAAACAATCCGAGAGGAAGCAGAATGCCCAAAAAAAAGCGGGTACCCCCCCCC